CCCCTGGACCCGAAACCCTTGCATTGCGAACTTGCGTCTCATTCTTGTCCCCTTGCACTCATCACGTCACGACCACACGCCAGCAACTTGAGATACCACCACCATGGCGCAACTCAACAGACTGCAGACATTCCCAAACAAGCCGAGAGTATTTGTCCTCACAGACATCTCAAACGAGCCCGACGACGCCGAATCGCTTGTCCGTTACCTCCTCTACTCCAACCAATTTCAGACCGAGGGCCTCGTCGCCGTCTCATCAACATGGATGAAGAACAAAGTCTGCCCGCAAGACATTCACAAGATCCTCGACGCCTACGCCGGCGCCGTGGATAACCTCAACAAACACACGCACCCAGACTACCCTTACCCTTCAGCCGACAGCCTACGAGCCTTGGTTAAGTCCGGGCCACCGGTACGCAATTGAAGAATGGCAGTTGTCACTCAAAGACCAAATATGCTGATATTTAATCTCACAGGTGTATGGATTCGCCGGTGTAGGTGCAGACAAGCCATTGACCGACGGCGCCCAGCTACTCCTCGAGAGAATCGAGGCCCCCTCACAAGATCCCCTTTGGGTCCTCGTCTGGGGCGGCACCAACGTCCTGGCCCAAGTCCTCCTCACCGTTCGCGACAAATACTCCCCCGAAGAGGCAGCCAAGTTGCGATCGAAGCTGAGAGTGTACACAATTTCCGATCAGGACGACACCTCAGCCTGGATCCGCACCCAGTTCCCCGACATTTTCTACATCTCCTCCATCCACGGCTGGAACCAATACGGACTGGCAGCGTGGACGGGTATTTCTGGAGACAAATATTACGGTTTCGACCAGGGCGGTCCAGACTTCTCCAAGGTCTCAAAACAATGGATCAAGGAGAACATTCAGATCGGCCCGCTAGGCTCCGCGTACCCCGACTTCCTCTTCATCCCAGAGGGCGATACCCCGACGTTCCTCTACCTTATCCAGAACGGCCTCGGCGATCGAGAGCATCCGGACTACGGCTCATGGGGAGGTCGTTACGCGCTCACCGACGCCAGCGATGCCGGACAGCAGGGCAAGCACTACAGCGACATGTCCGACACGGTCGTCGGCGTTGACGGCAAGTCATACCGCTCCAACCAAGCCACCATCTGGAGATGGCGCGACACGTTCCAAAACGATTTCGCGGCACGCATGCAGTGGTCGCTAAACCCCGACGTCGCTTCAACAAATCACCACCCCATTGTCGTCGTCAACGGTTCTCAGAGCCTCGAGCCTTTGTACTTCGAGGCTGAAGCCGGTTCAACAATCGAACTGGACGCCTCAGGGACGTACGATCCCGATGGGGATGAGTTGACGTTCAAGTGGTGGCAGTACCGCGAGCCGAGCGCTTCACAATGGCTGGTCCACTTTGAAGTCTCGGAACTTGGTATCGAGAAGCTGGATGCGGAGGGTAAGAAGATCAGGGTCGCGGTGCCGGAGCCCGAGAAGTCTTGCATGGAGCTCATCAGTCGGCAGCCGGTGGCCAAGGGCCAGGTGCTGCATCTCATCTTGGAGGTGACGGATAGCGGAACGCCCGCGCTGACGAGCTACCGTCGCGTAGTGATTCAGGCGACGAATAAAGATTTGAGAGGAGGTAAGCCTTTGAAGGAGGGGGAAGAGCTGTTAGCTATCGGTGATGCCATGAAGGATTATACTGGATGAGAAAGCATCATGACTAGTCCTTCAATGAAAACCAATCTAGGTCACACCTCACATACAAAGTCGATGAGAGGGAAATCACACGAGCCTCCAATGGCGTTATGCTGCTGCTTGACTGATTGATGGGTCAGATAATACCGTGCTTGGGTTGTGACATCCGCTCAAACGACACATAAAGTCACACAGTGATTAAGGGCATATACAAGTTGTTATCGGCATTAAACCATGATTGTTATCGGTATCATAATTCGACGTCATGTTGAGCTTGTCGATTCTATTTGCATGATAGCATGTCGCCTGAGACTGAAGAATAGGTAGACCAAGACTAGGGCAATTGATCCCATTCAATATACGCCGGAGTCACGTCTCAGAAAGGTAGATGTATTGGTATTCTGCGTTATCAAGTACAGGTGCCAATCGACAAAAGTTCTAGAACGAGAGTGGATGCTCATGGTGTTTCCAGTCTCACTGGCAGCTTGCTGAAGGATTGGAGCGAAGGAAGCCTTCTTACATTGGACGCATGTCGGCACCTGATTGGTGTCTTCAAGGCCTTGGGAAAGTTTCCTGGCTAGCGGAATTCCAGGGTCGCAGGGTCGCAGAGCAGGAAGATGATCCAAAATCCGGTCCATCTCTTTGGAGGTGGTGGCTTGGCTAGTGCTGACGGATACTTTGACGCGCCGCCGTCATCTCACCTGTCTCAATTCTTATCATCAGTGACCTCCTTAACAAAGACCCCATCTCCTTCTCTCTTCGTCGGAAGTATATCGGGCTCTCACGGGCGTTCATCCCATCCCAACAATCTTGAGGGTCATCGTCTGGTCGGGTGCATCGGCTCCACGAACAAAATGGACAAAGACAATGCAACAACTGTAGCTGTGATCGGGGCAGGTACGTCGCGTGTGGACAATGAGACATGAGCCTGCTTATCCATGTTACTGATGCGATGATGAAGGGTCCACCGGCCTGTCGATGCTCAAGACTCTCCGGGAAGACGGATTTGATGCTACGTTGTTTGAAAGGCGAAGTCGAGTTGGCGGTCTTTGGTCCTACACCGACGACAAGAGCATGACCACTGCGCTCCCTTGTGAGACCCCTCAAACGCTCCTCAACGCCTCCGTTGCTGGATGTACTGACTGTTCTAGCTACAAATGCCATCATCAGCAAATACACCTGCGGATTCACGGATTTCCCGATGCCAGATAGTAAGTGCATGAGTGCCATTTCTCGAGACATTCAGTCTTCAGGTGGCTGACATCCTGGAAGAGTATGGGCCATTCTTGAGCCAAGGCGATTTTGAAGAGTACATGGAATCTTATGCCGAGAACTTTGGTCTGTACAAGCACATTGTTTTTAATAGCACAGTCAAGCAAGTCATCAGGAACGGAGACGGCACCAAGTGGAAAGTCGAGATGGTCAGATCAGGCTCTCAGGAGGTGAAAGAGTTTGACAAGGTCGTCCTCTGCCATGGCTATCAGACGCAACCCAGGATGCCAACCTTTGAAGGTCAAGAGCTGTACCAAGGTCAACTCATCCATTCACAACAGTTTCGAAAGTATGTACCAGCATTTTGTTCCCTGTTTGAGTAGTACATGAGGCTCACTGCTCACCAATGCAACACCAGCCCGGAAAACTACAAGGACCAAAAGGTTGTCCTTGTCGGTCTTAGCGCCACGATGAGCGACCTTCTCACTATCCTAGTCGACCAAGCCAGCGAGACCTTCGTGTCGCACCGGAACGGCGCAATGATCATAGGTCGCTGGCGCAACGGCCTCCCCACCGACCTCCTCATCAACCGCGCCCGACGACAAATGTCCTACTTCCTTCAGCGAAACTTCCCCAACCAGGTCAACAAGCTCGTCAAGCTCGCCACGGGCCTCTTGATGCGACAGCACGGCAAGATCGATCCTGCATGGCGGCTCCTCGAAAACGTCGCCCCGCTCAGCCTGCATCTCGCCGGATGCATGGACACGACCCTGGAGCTTCTGCGCGAGGGCAAGGTGTCGTCCCTGTACGGGATCAAGAGGTTCCTCGGCGGCAAGAAGATTGAGTTCACGGATGGGACCGTTCTAGACGACGTCGACTCTGTTGTCTGCTGTACCGGCTACACTGCAGATTTCAGTCTCGTTCCCTTTGTGGAGACGAGCAAGCCCAAGGCAGACGCGGCCGGTCACCCGTACGGAGGCGAGTCCATCGCTAGGCTTTACATGAATCTCTTCCCGCCGGCGCATGCAGACAGCATAGCGATTCTCGCGTACTCGACGTACGGCAAGAATAACGGTTTCTCGTTTTCAGACGTTACCTCCATGGCCATCAGCAACATCTGGCGCGGCGTAAGCGCAGACATGATCCCCTCCAGACCGAAGATGGAGCGCGCCATTGACCGTCATCAAGAATGGGTTGCCGGCCGGTGGCACCAGGAGAACAGATCTGAGCCTGGTGCAGTCAAACAGTGGGAGTTCCAGGGGTTCTTACATCAAGCCGCCGGCACTGGCATGGAGAACCTGGGCTGGGGATGGCGCGGTTGGGTGACTTGGTTTAAGGATCCCTACATGGTGTATCTAATCAACCACGGCGTCGAGACGGCGCATGCCTTTAGGTACTTTGAGACGGGGAAGAGGAAGACTTGGGATGGGGCGAGAGAGGCGATCATCCACATGAACAAGTTGGTTAAGCAGCTCAAGTCTGCTAAGAGGTGAAGCTGTAGCTATCGTGAGCGCGAGGATTCATTCGGCCATTGAGTTTATTTTCTTCTCGTCTTATTTAGATTTGTCATAAGGTAGCCACCTACAAGTCTCTCCATTGTTGTATACCCATTGGCTCTGTCTTCACTTTTGTATCCACGGCCGAGTGGTGACACCGGGTCCGGAGTTAGCCCCGCAAACTCCGGCCTGCCCCTCCGTAAACCCCAACGCGGGCCATGCCGATCGTGCCGGTCCCTCCTCAAAGCCGACCGGATGCTTTAGCGAAGATGACCACGGGCTTGGGCCAGATGCTGTATCACCGGTGTAACCTGTCGTTATGACCGACATAGATTGGTCCGAGGTGGATTTGGTGTGCATTTATTGACGCAGTGAACGGGACGCACGACCATCCAATACGTCACAGACGCAACAGATCCCCGCATCAAAATGTCGGATCGAGAAGTCGTCTGTTACCGGCATGGAGCCATCGGTATGAGCTCTGCTAAATTCCGGTCATATTTCCGGACTGATATGTCAGCCGTCCTCGACTGCCGATGCCCCTCCTATGGCAAAGTATAAATTCACGACTTACAGTCCGTCTGTTATCTTGGTCTTTAGTTGTATGACTTTTAAGCAGTATCACCAGCCTCTCATAAGGACTTGTCGGCAGCTCATTGATACACCTAACCAACACCTATCAAACCTTGCCCGAACGTAATTACAATCACAATGTCAAACTTCATGGCAGAAGCGCCCGAGCCTCCCACCGAGCTGGGCAGGCTCCGCGTCCTCTCGCCCAATGCAGGTATTCGGGTGTCTCCCTTGGCTCTCGGCGCCATGTCCATCGGTGAAGCCTGGGCAGAGGCAATGGGTGCCATGAACAAGGAGCAGTCCTACAAGCTCCTCGACGCCTTCGTCGAGTCCGGCGGCAACTTCATCGACACAGCAAACGGCTACCAGGACGAGCAGTCAGAAAAGTGGATTGGCGACTGGATGAAGGAGAGAGGCAACAGAGAGCAGATTGTGCTGGCCACGAAGTACACCTCGGACTACCAGAGCCACGCCCTGGGTAAGGGCCACACAGCCAACTTCACAGGCAACCACCGCCGCAGTCTCCACGTCAGCATCCGGGACTCACTCAAGAAGTTGGGCACGGATTACATCGATATCCTGTACCTACACTGGTGGGACTACACGACGTCCATCAAGGAGATCATGGACTCTCTCCACATCCTCGTCGAGCAGGGCAAGGTCCTCTACCTCGGCATCTCAGACACGCCCGCGTGGGTCGTCAGCGCCGCCAACACGTACGCAGTCGACCACGGCAAGACGCCCTTTAGCGTGTACCAGGGCCGGTGGAGCGTGATGCACCGCGACTTTGAGCGCGACATCCTCCCCATGGCCCACACCTTCGGCATGGCCCTGTGCCCGTGGGACGTACTGGGCTCCGGCAAGTTCCAGTCGAAAAAGGCGCTGGAGGAGCGCAAGAAGGCCGGCGAGGGTCTGCGGTCCTTTGTCAGCACCGGCGAGCAGACGGAGATGGAGGTCAAGATGAGTGAGGCGTTGGAAAAGGTGGCGGGCGAGCACGGCACGGAGAGCGTGACGGCTATTGCCCTTGCCTACGTCCGCAGCAAGGCGCCGAATGTGATTCCCATCGTGGGCGGGCGCAAGGTCGAGCACTTGAAGGCCAATATTGATGCGCTCAGGATCAAGCTCACGGATGAGCAGATTACGTTCTTGGAAAGCGTCAAGCCTTTTGATGTCGGCTTCCCTGGTAACTTCTTGGGCCCAGATCCTAATATTACTGGAAAGTCGTTCAGGCTGGCGCGCGCCTCACAGATGTCGTTCCCGAATGCAGGCAGGCAGACGAGTATCTAAGCTAGATAGATAGAAGCTAGATCAAAAACGTAATGGAAGCCGTGTCTCATCAAACCAGATGACAAGTATCATTGAGTTGTATGAGTGCACCAATGCAATTATCCTCCTAGCTGGAGCCCTATGAATGTGTCTGCCGAACGTCCGACGGAACTCAACAGTTTCGACATCATACTTGAACTGATCGCCTCACAGAAGGCTATCTTGCCTAGCATCGCGCATCTCTAGTCGTCAAAGGTTCACATGCACATGCTGATTTTGCTCAAAATTATGCTTCAATTGGTGACTACCGCTGAGAGCTGCCTCAAACGAGGTATATATCAAAGGGGGGGCCTCCTCAAACCACCTACGTCCGATCAATCTGGGTGACCGTAGCCTTGGACGAATCCAAGCCCTTGTGGGTATCCTTATCAAAGTCAACCGCAGCATCAGCATGCGTATCAAGGCCCATCTGCTTCATAGCATTCGTTCCCACCGCCGCGTCCGGTCCGTCAAAGATCTCGGCCACCTCCTCGAGAGACCGTCCCTTGGTCTCGGGGAAGAAGAAGTAGATGAGAGTAAGGTGGATGGCGATCGCCACGCACCAGACAATGTAGTACTTCCACGCAATCGCCTCCATGGCAACGGGGTTCGCGAACGAGTTGTAGACACCCGCCAAGTTACCGGTGAGCTGGTAAAGCATGGAAGCCTTGGCGCGCAGCGAGTAAGGTGTGACTTCCATGATGTAGGTCGCGCCAATGGGCGAGCAGGCGTGGTACCAGAAGGAGAAGACAAAGATCATGGCCAGGACGGCGCCCGCATAGCCCATGTGCTTGAAGCCGGTCTCCTGGTTCAGCGCGGAGCAGATTGTCCAGATGATGTACGAGACGCCCATGCCTGACATGCCGACGAGGAAGAGTCTGCGTCGACCAAACTTGTCCACCATGGTGGCGAAGACGCAGGCCGAGAGGAAACCCCAAATTTGTAGTCCGGCGTTGATGAGGAGCTGGGTCTTGTGGTCCGTGACATTGATCGAGTTGAGCACCCTAGACGAAGTTTGTTAGCAATTGAGACGAAGCACGAAAGGGGATCCTAGTCTAAACTGACTTTGAGAGGAAGTACGAGGTCAAGGCATTGCCAGACCACTGCAGCATGGCAGGAATGTATAGAGCCAAGAACAGGCGATGCCAGTTGCCGCGGGTCGAGATCCATTCCGCCCAGCGCGACCTCTTCTGCACCTTTTCCACCTCGAGCGTAGCCGTGATCTCAGCCATCTCGAAGCGAGCAAGCCGGGAGTTGGGATCCCCGTATCCGTGCCACTTGACTAGAATATCCCTGGCCTCCTTGTAGCGACCCTTGTAAATCAGCCATCTGGGCGACTCGGGGCAGAAGAAGACCAGAGACGCCTGGATGACGGAGCAGACGCACTGCAACAAGCTGGGAAGACGCCACGCCCACGAGTTGCTCATCTTGAAGGTGCCAAACGTAACCCAGGCGGCGATGAGGGCACCGAGCGGCCACGAAACCATCATGAAGGAGACGACCTGTCCGCGGTGGGTAGGGTACGTGACCTCAGACAGGAGAGGCGGGGCGGCGGTCGAGATGATGCCGAGTCCAAAACCGATGATGAAGCGGGAGGCGACGAACATGCCGTAGTTGAGGGACCATGTCTGGATGATGGAACCGACAATGATGAGGACCGAGCCGCCAAAGATGGGCTTCCGGCGGCCGAGCCAGTCGCAGAGCTGGGAGGAGACGAGGATGGAGATGAGGACGCCGCCGTTGGGGCCAAAGGTCATGGCGCCGAGGCGCGTTCCCTTCGGCTCGCCAAAGAACTCTTGCCACTGCGGGAGTGACTGCATGCCATTGAGCATACTGGCGTCGAAGCCCGTTGCCGTCTGGGTCAGGAGACCGCTGAGAAGCAAGAGGTTGAGCTTCCACAGGGTCCAGTCGCTGTACCACGGCTTACGATCGCGAGGGATGACATCGCTGAGGACGAGGCCCTGGAAGTCGTCGGTGTCGGCACCGGGCGAGTGGACCTCTTCGGTGACTGGCTTTGCCATTGTGATGGTTGTCGTCGTCTCGTCGAAGAGAGTTAGTTGCCTTTGTCAACTTTTATCGTCGTTGTCTCTTGGAGGAAACCGACTCGAACTGACGGCTGCTGGTTTGCGGGCCTGCAGGGTAGTAGTGAATCCGGCGCAACGGTCCTCTTATATCTCGAGACGAACTGGCAGATTGGAAAACTTGGGAACAAATTGGAGTCGCGATGCGAATGCGGGATAGCGCCGGCTTGCCTACCATCCAGTACATTGACCGATGCCCCCTTTCAAGTTTTCCCCATGGGCAAGCAGCGACCTACCCCGGCTACCAGACAAACGCGGAGGAAGCTAAGGTTGAATCAGACCACTGCGCCGGTATCCGTAGACTGTCACAAGTTGGCCTTGTTCGAATGGTGGTGGCTGGCGACGCTTGTTGGTGCGCATCGAAACAGCGCCGGGGAGGCCTTTACCCCGATGCCCGATGCAGCATCACGTGGAGTCAAGAGGTTTTTACCCCAGATCTACCCCAGGTTCCTCCTCTTTCTCCTCACGAGTCTCTGTTCCTTCGAAGCTCCGGGGTGTGTCTTTCTCCTCACGCGACGCCTTCGACTCCTCACGCGACGCCTTCGACTCCTCATCACACCAGGAGTCGGCCCCCCGGTCGTTCGTTGCCCAGCTTCGGGGAATAAGAGCCGGCGGTGCTTGACTGAACCTCGGGGGACCCATCCCCCGGTATCCCCATACCCCGGGCAACGGCGTGTTCGACGGGCGTCTTACGCCGAGATGCCGAGACACGGGAGGGTGCGGCGCAAGCTAGCGACATCAAGCGAAAGCTTTTTCAAAGAGACGAAACATACTACGTCATTGATGGCCTTCTCTTAAAGGTGGGTTTCGCCTCATTTGAAAGCGAGGTCGCTCCGGGCTATGTGCAGCAGGATCGCCTTCAAGTTTGAGCACAAGCCACAACTAGCAATACGTTGATGGAGACGGTTCACTGCGAAACTGATTTCGAGAATTCCAGAGTGACAAGCAGATTTATTGAAGCATACGAGCCAGCCATTCCTGGTTCTCTTGTCACCCTACGCCAAGACACTGAGTACATAGTCAGCATGCAATGTTGTTTGCCTGGCGCAGTAGAACTCCAACGAACCTCGGTGCATATAACCGGAGTTCATTGCTGTAATGGGCGATACGCGCTCATGCCGGCAGAACTTTCTGCCAATAAACTTTTATAAGCTGACAGCACAACTGTCGGTTGGCTGGCCCATGTGTAGCATCCGCATTTCGTCCCATGCAGTAAAGTCTCCAATCAAGAGGCAGACTACTATCAGCAAACTAGCAGATTTGTCCACAACTTACTTTAGTATGTATCATATCGACTGATGTTTTCTCAGAAGCTTCTTCTTCATAGATGTTTGATCGCCCACGTTGATCGGCGACCACCTGCCTGCATACTACCGAAACGCCAATAGGCTCATCCGCTTGCGATATGACCCTCTTGCAACCCTGCTGTGTTGCCTCCTTTGGTGAAGGTAGCTGAATATGACTTTCCTCGCATGTTGATTCAAACAGAGAGATGTGTGGCACGACGGGTGGCATCGTGTTGCAGTGAAAGCACTGAATTACGTGGTCATTCTGATAGCCTACTATAGTTCCACAGCGAGTCTGGGCTAGTACAAGGCTTACACCTCAATTGAGTTCGTCGAGTGAGTATTTCAAAACATTCACCGACGTTGATTAGATGAGACTGCTTGGCGTCAGCTCAGCTGCCGGCTGCCCTGGCGGAGAACAAGACTCAAGCGCTCTTACTCTGCGTTTCGCTGTTCTCATTTGAAGACGACGCAGTCGCATAGGTCTCTCACATTTCTTGCTTGGCAGGCGAAGTAGCGAGACGAATATGTATCTCTTTCTAACTTACTCTACTAAATCTACTAAGAGAGACAAGTTCAAAAGAAGGGGGCGCGCCAAAGAGAACCACCACTACCATCACTGGCTTGAACACACCTCCGTCCGCGCCTAGTCTTGGGTTCGGTGCCAAGAGCCAGTGTTATGAGAATGAAAGATTCAGTATCACGGAATTTCGTATGGATTTAAGTCATTCGATAATATATTTGCTACAAGCTGAACTGCTCGACCCCCTCCCACGAAGGCCTCGTTGCGTGAGTGTTGCCAAGCTACGAGTCGATTAGCTGTACATGTAGTTAACTTGCATACACTCTTCCAATGATCGACACGAGCAAAATCGCTTACATCTTGGCATGTTTACACGATGCTTACTGAATCACAAGAAGGATTGCCCTCGTACTAGTTGACCACGAATACCCACAAAGCGGCAAATACTGACGGATGGTCGGACAATCACTTGTATGAGAGAATGTTGTGCACTATGAGACATCATCGTCCTCACCGCAACTTTTAAGTCTACCTAAGCTACTTAAGAATGTGACTGTGAGATGAGCATGTAGTTGACTGCTCTTCAAAATGTATTGTATACGAAGACAAGTCCCTGATGCGAAACTGATTTCTACTATAATACAATATCGTTCCCCGAGCCAAATTACAAGAGTAAGAGATAGGGCAGCCCAAAAGAAGATCATCAAAGAAAGCAAATTTGCACCTCGCTGATTCAACACTGTAAGTAAGAGTGAGTAACCCCAACCCTCCAATCAAGCTTTCGTCTTGCGAATAGAAATTCCAGACGCCACCATGAAGTTCACAAACCCCATCCTCCTCGCCCTCGCCGCCAACCTCCCACCCGCTCTAGCCGGCATCGCGCCCACCGCAGCCGAAGAATGCGGTAACCTCGGCGTAATGTCCTACACAGCCTCCTCTCTCGACAGCAACGTCGACCCCTCCAACATCCGCAAGTGCAGGGAGCACCCCCTGACCCTCAAATCCGGCTCGTCTCCGAACCTGCAGGCCCGGGAGTGCTGGTTCGGCGATAAATACGGCTGCAGCAAGGGATACTGCTGGGAGTCGTGCGACAGGAGCAAGGGCACCTGGTGCTGGACGGCGTGGAATGGCGGGCACGGAAACTGGCGGACGTGTTCTGGCAAGGAGCAGTGCGCGCCAGCGGAGCAGTCTGCTTGTGGGAAGGATTGTAAGGATGCCAAGGAGTGTGGGTGTAGCTGTCACTGAGATGGTCTGGACGATCTATGAGATGTCGCGCTATTCATCTGTCTCTACCTCCTGTAAACTTGTGATTAACTATCATAGATCTCACTTGTTTCGCTCCATCTTCGGTTACTAGGCTGAGAAGCTCTTTTCATCATCCCAGCAGAACCAATCATCACACTCATTTTTACGATGAGCAATTATCTCATTTCATCATGGTCTGTCTGTAAGCTCTCACTCTCTCTCATCGAAACACTATGCCGAGGTAAGATCATATGAATGAATTGACTAGCATCCTAAGTGCCCATCGAAGGGGCTCACATTCTCTCGTCCTTGAGCGGAAGTAACGTCACTGAAGAATTCTTCGATCACCAGATGGAAAATATCGTGAGATTCTCTGATACTGTATGACTCATTTCATGCCACTGGGCAGTATTTTCTTCTTGGCGTGGATTGTACATCAATTTTATTGCGTCTTTTACATGGTTTCCAAATCACAATTATGACCAAAGAACGCATCGCAGTCCTGGCATCCAACGTCAGCAGAGAGTCTTGAAATAATGCCACAAGAGGCCTCATGGTTCTAACTAGATCTGAATCATTACTTTAAAACCTTGAAATAGGACACTGCCAACAAAACCAAGTCCGGAGCAGACGCCGTCACCCGGAGGCGGCAGGCGGCAACGCCGTTACAAAGCATCGCCGAAGCTCCGAAGGGCCCCACCGTGGCGCACAAACCCCCGCAGGCCAATCACCTGCGACAACTACAACCCCACCAACAACGACGCCCACACCAAAAGGGAAAGGAACTCGCGCCGGCCGCAGCATCTCGCAGCTCATCCCATCTCCGGGCAGCAAAAAGACGACGCAACAAGGAGGACGACTAAACCAGTTCTGCCATTCGTTTCGAGTTACTTTGGAGTGAGGGACTCACTTATAATCTGGTTGGCCTTTTACCTTTCCTTCCTCTTCTGGCTGAGTTCATCTTTGGATAGGGACAGCAACATACTGGAAAACATCAGATATCACAATGGCTGAATCAGCATCCCACCAACAGCCGTTGGAAGGCGGCAAGATTCTCACGCCAGACGCCATCGCCAACATCCTCTCGTCCGCCTCCGCCTGGGCTGATCCAGGCTCCGTAGACCAGAGCCGCGCCCACAGGACCGCACTGCTGGGCGATGTACTCTTCACTGCGCAGCAGCAATGGAACAGTGGCAGTCAAGAGATTGACCTTGTTGCGGAGAAGCTGGGCGATGGAAGCAGAGATGGTGAGGCCCCTTGATTCACACTACTGATTTTGGGATCTATACTAACACATTCAACAGCATCATGGAGACTGCCCCTGGGAGACTCGGGCATCGTCGACTTCTTCCTCTCTGTCATTTCCACAGAGAACCTTAGACCAGCGTTGAAGAAGCACTCTCTCCGTCTGCTCGGCAACTCATGCGCCGACACAGGTACCAATCTTGTTCACCCATCCTCTCCATGAAGATAGGAAACCTAACGCAATGTCTAGATGAAAACCGCGCAAGGGTCGTGTCATCAAACGCAATCACCTCCATCACCAGCCTTCTCGCCGACGACGCCGCCCTCCCCTTCGCCGTGCCAGTCCTCTACAACATCCTCGTCGACTACGAGCCCGCCCAGATCCAAGCGAGCTCTTCCTCGCTCACCCTCCACCTCGTCAACCTCCTCACCAGCCCACGCCTCGCCAACGCGCCGCATCTCATGGGTATCATTGGCAAGATCCTCGCCTTGCTCGCCACGCACGGTATGCTTCACTCAACCCCTTTACTCACTCAGTCCTAGAACCACAAAGCTCACTCCCTTCTCCAGAAACCGAAGCCAACTTCGCACCCCCGCAAACACCAACCATCCTCCTCACCCTCGCCCTCACACCCACAACCGACGCAGAAGACTTCGTCTCCCTCACCGCCGTCGCCCTAGCCTACCTAACCCACGCGCCCATCCAAGCCGCCCTCGTCGCAACCGGCTCCGTCCCCGTCCTCCTCGCTACCTTCTACCACCTCCAAACCCAGCTCGACGCCCTCCGCGTCGAAGACGAAGACGCCGCCGTCCTCCTCAAATCCCTCCCCCAGTCCTTCACCCAGATCCTCGCAGACGTCTCCTACGCAGACGACTTCGCCCTCCGCCACCCCATCGGCTCCCCCGTCCTCGACACCCTCTACAGCTGGCTCACCCTCGCGCCCGACAACACCCACCTCCAGTCCGCGGCCTGCCTCTGCCTCGGCAACGTCGCCCGCTCCGACGAGGCCTCCTACGCCCTCGTCAAATCCCACGCCGTCCACCTCCCGCTCGCCGCCCTCCTCGCCAAAGCAACAGACACCATGCTCCTCCACTCCGCCCTCTCCTTTGCCAAAAACCTCGCCATCCCCTCCCAGAACAAACCCGTCCTCGGCGACGCAGGCCTCTTCTCCCCCGAGATCCTCCCCCGCATCTGGTCCCTCGACGTCAACCCCCAAGTCCAGTTCACAGCAGTCTCCCTAACCCGCCTCCTCCTCGTAAACACACCCACCAACGTCCGCCGCCTCTGCGCCCCCCTCTCCCCGGACCCTCTATCCCCCTCCCACGAGACGACACACCTCCACCGCCTCCTCGAAATGGTCTCCCGCACAGACGCAGAACACACAAAAACCGAAGCCGCCCGCGCCGCCGCAGCCGTCTGCCGCGTCCTACACACGGCGCCCATCCCGCCCATCCTACCAGACTGGGACCCCTCCGAAGACGGCTACGTCTTCCGACCCGAGAACCCGCTGCCCGCGACGGCCGTGGCTGAGGCAGAAGGCGACGGCGGCGCGCAGCGCAGAGAGAAATTCTACAGGCGGCACCCGAGCCTGAACAAGGCCCTCGCGTTCCTCGTCACGCAGACCAAGTTCCCCGTGCTACGCAGCGAGGCGTGGTTCGTCTTCGCGCTCATGTGTCGCGCCAAGGACGGGGCCGATGTGGTTCTGCGCACGCTGCAGGTTCCTGGGGCGTTTGAGGCGTTGACGGAGGCTGTTACGGGGCGGACGTTTTCTGGGGAGGATAGCAGCAACGGCACGAATCAGAAAGCCATTGAGGGGGTATCGGCATCGTCGGGTGGTGATGGGCAGGCGGTGGTTGTTGGCGGGGGAGATAATGCTGCCATGGTGGAGGGTCTTGGGCTGGAGCCGCAGCAGGCTGACCCGTCGCAGGCGGCGGGCATGAAGAAAGTTGATCGGGAGAATGGGCTGGTCATGGTGTCGGAGCTTGTCAAGAGGCACGCGGATGAGTTGCCGGCTGTTCGGAGGGCTGCGTTTGAGGAGATGTTGAAGGAGGGTGGTGAGTTGATGGCTGATGAGAAGGGGAAGGGCAAAGCATAGTTTAGATGATGAAGCAAACGATGCCTGACAACACGGTTCCTCTACTTCGATCCAAGTAAAGTGAGAAGCCATACTCGAAATGTTTGGCGGCAATTTGATTCACAGGATAGACCAAAATTAAATCACAGCATCACCGAGTTGAACCACAATTGGAAAAGCAATCGAATCAATCCTTAGTCTACTCCTGTCACCTTTGACCCATGATACACGTCACGTCGTATTCGTACGATGCGTCTTCCTACGCCCGTCGATGTAGACGACGGGGAAATTCTTGGGGGAGTTGTGTAGGGGGGCAGCAATCGACACAAGCGGGCGTGATCAATGCAATAATTTCTTTATGACCTTGTCCTGAGAGTATCTCAATCCACTGAACCCACGCCAGGCCAGAAGAAAACAACCCGACTTTCGAAGAACTTTTTTCCCTTCTCCGAAAGTGTTTTTGATGTGTCGAAAGCAGCAGCCGAAAATCCCATTTCCATGCAGCAGCTTAAGCTTAGCTGCACTAGTAGCCGCAGCATCAAACAAAGCCCCCCGACACCACAAGAGACGACAGCAGAGCAGCAGCGGTAGCAAAGACAGAGACGTGCTGCGTTTATTTCTTGGCAGCCTCGGCCTCGGCCGCGTCGCGGGCGCGCTTCTCCTTCTTGCCCAGGTTGCGGGCCTCGGCTCTCGTGTCGCGGAGCTTGCGGTAAGCACCGCCCTCGATGGGCTTGGGGAGGTCGGACTTGGAGATCTCGGAGAAGCCGGAGGCGGTCTTCTCGATGGGGAGGGCGGCGGAGAGGGACTTGACGGTCTCGGTCTTGGAGAGGTCGACCTTGGAGTCGCCCTGCTTGACCTTGTTGGAGCGGCGGGGGAAGACAACGAGGCGCTCCTTGTAGGCCTTGAGGCGGGCGACGTTGGCGGCCAGGGACTCCTCGCTCAGGTTCTTGCGGCGGCCATCGACGGCGATACCGATGGTGGGAGCGTAAAGGCGGGGGATACCGGCGGCCTAGCGGACTCGCGTTAACTCTCTGAACATTCCCAAAATCTTCGTCCTTCCTGGCACCGGGCGTGCCTCGCGGGGTTTCAATATCGTACCTTAAGCTCGTCCAGGGTGAAACCGCGGCCGGCACGGACCTTGCGGTTGTACTTGATGGTAGGGCATCTCACGACAGGGCGGAGCAAGTCGGTGGGACGGGGAGCGACCTTCGCGGCCTTGGCCTGACGGGCGACACGGCGGCTGTGCTTCTTGCCGGCCTGTTGTGATGTTCCAAGTCAGATCCAAATTCCTCTTGTACCATTTCCAATTTTCCCACTCTCATATGTTTCCCCGGGGTAGAGAAAATAAAGAGTATCCTGCGCAAAAGAATCATACCTGGTCGAAGTGCGTCCGGACCCGGCGCTGCCAATCCTTGCGGAAGTCTGGTCAAATGGTGTCAGTACTCTGTTGTGTCTCGATGGTCGTCGTCTTCGCAATCGTCGCTCTTCGCGTGGAGGGGTGCTCACGGTTGTGGGGGATCTGCTGGTTGTGTGCGATCGCCTGGAAAAAAGTCGAATGTCAGTATTTGCGATGCGACGCCATCAATGGCGAGTCTCGTGGGCGTATCGACATACCATTGTGCCTGTATTGCGCGATCAAGGGGTTAGTAGTCCGGATGGGCCGTCGTCGAGATGCTGCTGCAGGCTTCGAAAATTCCTTGAGAGGGACGAGTCAAAATCTCTGGAGGGCATGAAAACCCTACGAAAGGCAGGTACGTACTGGAGGTTTTTGGGGTGGGACGGTCGCAATTGTTGATTGGCTGTGGGATCCACCTGGTGTGGCAGCGTGAAGGACAGGCGACGGCCGAACCCTATTCCGGATCTTTGTCTTGTGGCTGAGGTGATGGGTTTTCGGTGTGCAGGTGGATCTCTGCTGCTGGGAACCACCTGATGCGAGAGCACTCATTCGATCCATGGAGCTCGTCGATGTAAGGTAAGGTAGGTAGGTATTCTATGCTTGTTATCGTCGTCTTCAACCTCCTAGTGCGACATTTTGATTGCACCAGGGCAATTTATCTGGGTACTGCGTCCAATTGCCCATCCATCGACCACTCTACCAAATTCGTCAGACGCTAGATCTCTCAGTTCTGTCAATACTCTCAAGATCATAGTGTGCCACGGAGGATTTGTTCAGTGAAGTATAAGACAGCAGCCCCATCGCACATATTGAATTGCGCGCCCAGCCAATGAGTGCTTGTTTTTGTTGGTGATACCCTTCTGCTCAGTGCTCACTTGTTGTCGCAAGATACGTGTAGTTCCCTCACACCAGCTCCTCATACCCGCGATGTCCTTGTTATTGGCAAATATGGATAGCCGACGATGCAGCGTATCTGGGAGTTCCATTGTGATGTCTCGATAATATTCATTTCCCGGCAGTCGTAAATACACTTGCTCGAGTATTCGACGCGAGGGTTCAGTGCTTGCCGTGTTTTCTCATCAAATGTTCCTTCCCTTAATTGGTCTACAACTCCACAATGTCACTGCATCTTCGAGACGGTAGTGCCTTCCCACCATGACATAGGTACTTTGACAGCTCAGTATCCGGTAGGTGGTGTGAGCCGGTAGTCCCTCCCAACTCATGCCCAGCCTGCTCCTTCCCGTTTGTCGTCCAAGTTAATAAAATCCATCGACAAACAATACGTACTTCCACCTGCACCTTCCGCCTCAGGCACGTCGAAAAAGGGTCGTTGCGCACGTGACACTAGGTACCTCACTCCCATTACTGATTGCGGCGCACCTTGGGAGATTGCAGAATATCTATATAATGCCCCGCTGTCCTTTCCCCTTTCCGCTCCTTTTCTCTTTTTCTTCTTCATACTTACCTTGATGGGCGTCCTGGGGATCATGAAATCCGGTACGCAGAGAGGGATGCCTGCATTGCACATCGTGGAGCCCTCCTCTCTCGATAGTCCTTCGGGGCCATCGCTGTTGTAATTTTTGATTTTCAACCCTTTTCATTGTGTGCTCTGCCTAGTGCAGGGTCATGAAGAAGAGACTCCTAAATGATTCTTGATGCATTGATAACGCTGAAGGTTAGTTGCGTGATACTTGTGCTTGATTTCTCTCCAATGTCGGAAGTTGCTGGAACACTTGAAATGCGACACGAAGCTCCGTCACCCCATGATAGCTCCCAATTCTGTGAATGATGGCGTAGAAGAAGCTGAGCTGTGCCAGACTCCCATTCAGGTAGTCGTCCTTCATCCATACCGCCTCGGTAATCATCAGCCAAGGTAGCTCGGAAAAAGCCGACCACGTCAAGTACGCGTCCTATGAGCAAGCCCATCTTGACTTCAATGTTCTGGTATTTGTAGATATTTCTCCCAACGGGGGCTACTCGCAATCTCTCCGGGTCTGCGGTGAAGTTATACACTTAATGTCTAATGTTTCTCTGCAGCAGTGAAATCTCTGTTTCTGCGTGGATTTAATCAATCGCCATTGAACGTGAGTATTTGTATTAGGTATCGCGATGTTTTCATAGATGAATTGGCCTCCCTTGCAAAATCAATCCTCACCAGATACTTACTTCATCTACGACTTACGAGCGCCAGCTGAAAGCAGCCGGATCCAACTGGTCATACGGCTGTGTGACAGCTAGAAAAGCTCCCTTCCCGAGCAGCTGGCCCGTCGTCGTACGAGAAAAGGTCCCCGGGACAAGCCGCACCAATCATAACCCTTCAAAAAACCATGCAGCCCAGGTCCAAGGGGACCCATTCAATTCCCAGAGCTCCAAAAAATCTCATGACAAGTGCTTTTTTCGGCTTCTGCGTCGCCCCCCGTCCCATTCCCCCGTGTTCCGAGCCAGAGAGAGAGAACGTAACGTCGCCGACCTCCCGTCCAAGGCTAATTGAATCGACGAGCCTCAATTGCCTCCCGACCCCTCCGATCCCAACACTTCACCGAGGCACTCATCGAGACTTCAACACCTGCTTCGACCAAGATACACCAACCAAAATGGCATCCAGAGTAGGCCCCCGAAGCGCCTCGGACGCAACGCGCTTCACCTCGACCACCCCGCACGCCGCCTCCAAGAGCTCTCCCACATCAGCAGAAGCAGCAGCAGCACCGACAGGGACGTCGACGACAGCGACAGCATCCTCAACACCAGCGACAAAGTCACCACAGCCTCCAAAGATCCCCGGCCGGCAACCGGGCGAGAGCCCCGAAGACCGCGTCCGCCGCCTCCGCGCCGCCCACGAGGCGGCGCGCAAGGCCCAGACGTCCAGCCTCGACCGCGCCATCGGCGGCAGCCGTCGCTTCTTTGACGTCGCGCACAAGTTCACCGTCCTCGGACTGGTCGGGTTTACGGGTATGTCTATAAAACCCCTCGTACGATTCTTCACTTCGCGCTAGGGAATCCCTTCGAGGACGACAAGCTCCAACGGAAGTTGATGAAGAAGAAGAAGAAGAAGAAGAAGAAGGACAAGAGGAAGGCAATAAGAGGGCAAAAAGACTAACAGGGCCCCCAAAGCAATCGCAGGCCTCGTCTCCGTCTACTCCGTCTACGACATGGTAACCTACAACAAGCAACGCCGCACCGACTTCATCGAAGCCCAGCGCAAAATGGAAGACGACGCCCTCGCCACCGCCCGCCTCGCCTTCATCAAGGGCACCGCCACCGACACCCAAATCACCCTCGTCGAGGAGGCAAACGCCCTCGCCCGCGAGACGGGCGTCAAGCTCCCGCCCTTGCTCTCCGCGCCCACCCACACGACGGGCGCCGAAAAGATCTTTGGTACGGGCCAGCAACGGACCGCCGAAGCTTCCTCGACGACAGTCGCTCCCGCCTTCCCTACGACTTCTGAAGCTGCTCCTGCTTCCGCACCCGCCCCGAAACAAAAGAAGAGCAGCAGCTGGTGGCCCTTTGGCGGCAGCAAATCCGACGCCGCAGAGACCAGCTGGAGCGAGGAAGACGAGTCCTCCGGCGTCCGCGCCACGGACCTCGCGCGCGCCGTCGAGGACAGGAAAGAGTTCCTCCAGGACAAGGCAAAGGCCGCTTTCGAGCGCGAGAGGGAGAACCAGCGCCGAGGCGGCCCGCTGGACCAGGTCGGTCTCCCGCAGGAGGAGAAGAAGGCCGAGAAGAAGGGATGGTGGTAGAGCAAAACGACGTGCTCGCCAAGTTCTCGACGGACCGTTGTTATAATATGATACACCAATGAGGTGGACGGAGGGAAGACGGCAAGGTCTTTGTATCTGAATGTGACGATAGCTGGTGCACTACAACAAAAAAACAAGTCGGCTTTGGAGGAAGTGTACGAGAAACGACAATCTCCACCCCCAGATAGAGAGTCGGAGAGACGGACACCTACGTCGGTACAAAAATTGGGGGGCGAGTTGGGAGAGAAGAGGTGGAAAGGCCCTCTTTCAGCACGGCGAGGACGACGAAGAGGAGGGGGAGGGGGAGGAGGCCGCCAAGTGTCACTGTATCATACGTGTTAGACTGGATTGTGCATTAGACGGCGTCCGGCTTTACAAAGTTTTGCATGCGGGAAAGAGGGAGAAATAACATCACCTTCGTCTCTGCACAGCCAGGTTCTCTTCCATCGTGAAGCATCTCATCGTACCCCGAAACTCATGTTTTCTTGAGTTTACTTACTTGACATAAGTACGATCATTTCCCGGGTTATCCTTGTCATTCAATACACAGTCGCATACATAGAACGGAAGTTTGACAATGAACAGTGCCGGCGTACTTTCGCCGCTTGATTATGTCCTTTGGACCGGTATTATGTACAGCCGCGAAAACGCTTCAAGAATGCAGGCTTCCGCCGAGTCTCAAACTGCCACGCCGGGCCAGTCGACTCCCCAATCCCAAATAATGCATACCGGTAACCTATGAACCGTGAAAACAGAGCTTGCCCAACAAGCCCCGAGCGAGTGTTAAATATGTGCGCTAAATGTGGTATTACCGCCGGCCGAGACTCCCATGTCTCTGAAAACCCCCGTCCCGAAATCATGTTTCCCGTGCCTACTCGACCGGAACACACCATCCTGATTGGATCAATGCAATCGCTTGTCGATCTTGTAATTCTTCAAAGCACCTTTCGTCAAACTCTCTCCGTTTTTGTTCTTCTCTAGGGCGATGCCTGTTCCGTTTGGGAAACATCTGCAACGCCAAAACGTCAGGCAAAACGATTTCTTGCCCGTTCTATGAGACAACAATGTGATTAAAGTGGCCCGGCACCTTGAGGCGGCACTTTTCGCAATCAGCACGGTAACCGATGCTGAAGCTCTTCTTCATGCCAGGCTGCCAAGTCCACGAGTTGACAGTGTGCCTAGATCGAATGTGTCCCTTGCGTCCAGGCGAGGGTGTTGCCGGTGCTGATGTCGTTTCAAGGGGAGCGGCGTCAATGGTGGTGGTGACGGGATCATCACTCATCATGTGTGAGTGGTCCTCCACATCCATCATACCCATATCGTGATGATCGTGTCCGTTGAGAGACGACTGTTCTAAGCGGGCAGTCAGGTTGGACGGGAAACCGTTGTCGAGGACCATTCCTGGGGGACTCAGGCTTCCGCTGCCCAGATGGCTCGCCGAGTCCTCGCCTTCACTAATAGGCGACGGCAGACGGCGATTCTGGATGGCGTGCCAATCATCGGTGCCTTCCATGGTACGAGGAATGGAGCGGGACTCGTCGCTGCCGAAGCCGGCGTGCATGTGGCCCATATTCACCACGCCGGTACGATGGCTGACCGCGGGACCCGGGCCACGCCAGTCGCGCGCTGAGGAGCCGCCATTCATGAATTGGGAGGCAAAGTTTGGCTGAATCGGGGTGGGCATACGGCCGTTGACAGAGGCGGGCTGGTCCGACTGGATATGCTGCTGCGGAACAGGCGGCGGCGACATTGTGTCCATCATGTCCATGTCACGATCGGGCTCAGTCGGACCAAAAGGCGAGGGCTGGCAAGACATGGGCGCGGGTGATGACGACCATGGCGAGAAGTGTGACCTGGGCTGTTCCTCCGAGTCCGAGTCGCCCGGTGTCAGAGTGCAAGGAGCGGCATTGAGCGGTATAACGGGCGTCGACCAGCGCTTCGAGGAGGTCGGCGATGTTCGGAGGGGTAGGCACTGAAGGCGTTTCTGTTTCACGGGGGAAAAGTCAGTAATGGTATTCCAGATGATCACAGAGAAGAGGGTTAAGCAAAAAATGGGCATGGCCTACGTTTCTGTGTTCACCAAAGCTCAGAGTGCCATTGTGCATGTCCTCCTCGTCGTCACGTCCTCTCTTCCGAGTTAGGTCTGGGTGATGCTGGATTCCGAACATAGTGAAGGCCGTGGTGGGGAGGAAGAGGTGCGGTTTGGGTGTATGTAAATGGAATGGGATTGGATGCGACTATGGTGGACGGCTAGCGGATGAAATGCAGAGGCGCGACTAGCGATAACAAGCGTCGAGACTCGGAATTTGGTATGTAAAGTTGATTATGTCGCTCGGTATGTTGAAGAAGAGAAGATGAATGAACAGGACAGGACAGAATGACGATGGATGGCACCGAGTGTGCCGTGGCTGCCTTTCTTCTGCTCGTGCACAGGCTGGCGGTGCTTGCGCTCGTGCTGAGTGCTGGGTGCTGGCTGGGTGTTGGTGCCAAGTTGCCCCGGACTGAAGGTGCCGGGATGGGCGGGGGGGTGGTTGGTTCAAGGTTGTGGTGGCAGGCGCGGGCGTAGGCGCAGCTGCGGGTGCAAAAGTGACAGGCAGGCAGTATCCGTAAAGGGAGGGGGCCTCGTATTTGGCCTGGCGGGTTATTGAATTCTATCTGGTCGCTACTGCGTGCTACTTCGCGCAAAGGGAGGCTGAGTCGAGTTTGAGCAAGGCGATGCTGCGATAGTTGTAATATGAGAGCGGAAAGAGGAGAAGGAAGATGGGAAGGAAGAAGGAGAAGGAGGAGCAAGAGTTGGGGAGTCGGAGGAGGTTGACGTTGCGCAGCGCGTGGTAGGTGGTGGTGGTGCGTGGTGTAAGTCGCACCCGATGAGGCAAGGCTTCGATCTGCACAGCGCCTGTGGTCTGCGGTCTGCGGTCTGCGGTCTGCGGAAGCTGTGGACGGTGGGCTGGCTGCAGTAGTTCACCTGGGGAAGTACAGGATGAGGTGGGAAGATCCGGTGGCCTGGTCGTGATTGGAGATGCTGCAGTTGTTGTCCGACGCCAGCTTTCCTTTTGCTCTTTTCTTGGCTGAATCTCGTCAGAGTACTGGCTGTGGTGGACGAAGATGGCGTTGTATCTCAGAAGGCAAGGCTGGAAGGTAAGGTATCTTGGAGAAACCAGAAAAGCCAGAAAAGCCAAACCGAGTTGTCGGGAAGGGGGGCAGTCGCAGGTAAAGTAATCCGCCAAGGAAACACCGAAAGCAGAGACAGGCAAAATAAGGTACTTTATCCGTACATGGAAGTTGCACACAATGGAAGGAAGCAACTCGAGTACCTTCTTGCCTTGTAAGCCACCTCGAAAAACGGCGACACGAGGCAGCAGGAACGGCAGAGACCAGTGACGGCAGCCTGCCAGAAAGCGGAATAGCGCAAAGACGCCACAAAAGGGGGAAAAGCAAGAGGCACCAGGAGGCTCCTTCCTTCACACCTCGCCTCGCCTCACCTCACCTAATAAGTAATACCCAGCACGTTCCTTCCTTCCCAATATCTACCTAGAACCTACCTTACCGGTATTCGATTCCCTCTTTCCCGATGTTCAATTTCCATTGGCAGCCTTAAGTCCCCGGCGTGCCTGTGCGGTAAGTACCTCCGCAAGACTTCCATTAGCAAGAAGGAACCCAAGGCAGGAGAAAAGAATTGCAGAAAAAGGGCCAAAGCAAGAAGGAGCCGAAAGGGCCCAGACCGTCAAGGTTCTTCCCGGACCAACGGTTTAGGGGACGTACCGCCTCCACTTGCACCCCTAAAGTTTTCTACCTTAGGCAAGCGCGCACACCCACGCAACCACGCACCCTCCACGGCAAGCACGACACGGGAGGTCGGAGACTCGGAGGTGGAGACAGGGAGGAGGAAGAGGGGCGCTAAGACGGCGCTAGTTCCACCCTGCTGGAATTCAATCCGCCGGGGATCTGGGAAAGGAAAGACGAGAGAGCATATGAAAGACAACAAAAGATCTTGTTCAACAGAGGGTGGTTGGGTTCTCATGGAATGTGATGGCGTCAAGTTATGTGTCCAAAAATCGTAGGGAGACGAGAGCTGATCGCCATATGACACGTTGGGATACGAACATCGAAGCGCAATGCGGATGGGTTCGAGTGTTGGACTGTGTCTCTGGAAATGAGAAAAAGACCGTGACAAGGCAATGACTTGGTCCCAAATTGTCCAAGCAAATTGGATTAACCACGACCGCAAGACAAGGACAGGACTAATACCGGGATCGGAGAATAAGAGGAGACATGCAACATTGGGTTTGCAAAATGCAAGTGTGTGATATAGGGCATGGTGGCCTTAGAAACGAAAGAGAAAAAAAAGCAATGGCCAAAGAGCTGCTATTCCTACTAGCCCAATATCCAACCTAAGTGACCGGGGGTATCTTCAACGGCCTGATACTTCCTAATGTGAAGATATCCGAGTTTCTTCCTTCTTTCCAGCTCGCACCGTTGCTGGAAAGATGGTAGCATTTCATGTGTCGCGTGCCCATCTACCACAAACCAACATGACAACTTGCTCACCCCATCTCACAGGCCAAACATCGTAAACTTGCTCTCGCTCCTCGCGTCAAGACTGGCGGGCAAGGACCAGCTACGGATCCCCGATGAAAATCAAGCTGTCCGGACTGACTGACTGACCAGTGACTTACCCTTTCCATCACCTCGTACCTGACCTCAGAAACCTCGAAAGGAGCAAAACGGCCGCTGAAGAAGACGAGGGTATCTGTGCCAAAGAAAGTTGCAGGGTAACGTACGTTCGTTCGAGGCGACGTGACCATCTTGCCGCCGCATGGCGATTTGCTGGTTCGTCCCGCCTGTTCAACCTCTGGCACCCTGTGGCATGTTCACACATTTCTTTTCTGTGTCTTGGTCGTTGAAAATAGGTATCTTCACAGGGTGATAGGACACTCTAAGGGACGTGGCGGGTTGCGGTGTGTGGTGGTGTTGAGGGCTGCGTTTCAGGATTGCTTCATGAGAGGCCGGGGTGGGTGGGATGAAAGCGGTCGAGTGGGCGGGTTGGGTTGCACCACCAGGACTTTTCCGACCATGACGGCGGGGTCACGGGACTATTCGTGATCGCTTCGGAGTAATCCTTCACGATATCCTTTCGGGGTGTGTTGATCGTGGATGGGAGGCGAGGCCCCAGAAAAGATTATGTTGCGAAGGAGGTTGAGCTTGAGTGATCGTCTTACGTCGTCGTTGAGATCATCGTCTGCACCCAGGCTTTCTACATACCCGGTCTTTAGGTCTACTCGATGGCAATGACTACCAGGTAAAGAATGTCTATCGGCCTCATATGTGACTATTCCCATGGTGCCATAGTCACGATCTAGGTATGAAAGAAAATAAGGCTTCCAGTGCGATAAAGGCCGGCCGTATCTTTCCTCTTCGGTCACCTCGCGTATCTCAAAAAGCCTAAAGACGCGAATCGACCCAAGCTTGCGCAAGATCTGGTTCCACGACCTGAGCCATGCCGCAAACCTCGATTGCCAAGAGGCTCGCTCTTGAGTCTTCGGCGAACAGCACAGAGCCGCAGGTCCCAACTGTTGGTACTACCACGACCCTGCGTCGCAAGGCAGAATAAAGCAATGGCCGAGACAGAGCGTGAGGCCCGTCTTCAATCCGATGGGCCTTACCCTACCTGACAAAGTGTTTGGTTGGCGATGTTGCTGTTTTTATAGATGATACACCTCACGTCCGCATAGAATCCATTTATACTTGTCCAAAAGTCATGTTAGAGTTGCATGTCTCAGCTGTTCCAAATTGGAGCTCTGGCGCTACGGCACGTAACCGCCATGAGGATGCCATTTGTGGGATACGTACATGTAGATACAATTCGGACATATCTGCCAAAATACAGTAGATCACATCACAGAATCCTTCCGCGTCCGGGCCCCGAACGTGCGTCAACAACCGCCTAGACGAGCACACAAGACGACGCTGGTCCCCCGCCTAAACCCCACGAGTCGTTCACTCTAAAAGGCAATGATTGAGACTGGTCGGACGGGCCAGCCGAACGCACAGCCGACGTCCGTTCTTTCGAGGGCTTTGGGCTCTCGGCAGCTGAGTCACGGTTGACCGAGAGGAACGAGATCAGACGCCGGTTTACTAGTACCCCAAAGCAGTTGGTGTTCTGCCACGGCTTTTTGGTTACTGACTGACAAGTTTGAGTGACAAGTGACAAGCTTGACTGTTTTGATAGGATTCGACAGCCTTTGTTCACCAGTAACCATTAGAATTGGAGTTGCGGGCGCCTAACATTGAGCATGGTGGTCAAGCATCGCTTCACGATATCTTTCAGCCTCGTTCTTTTTTCCTCTCCACTTTGGTGTCTACTTATATTCGAAACCAGTTCCAATTGTGATGGAAACCAGCATATAAAAATACCGATCCCAGATGAACATCTATTTTGAATAAGGCCAAGACTTTGATCCGCGAAACTTGACCAGAACCACCGTCGATCTCTCCAATGTCTCGTCAGAGAGCCGGGGCCAACGGCGTATGGGTTTCACCTCTATTTGCGGTCAACCAAAGACTCGTTCACGGGGCTGCTACATGGCATTCTCGTTGCAAGTTGAGAACGACAGCGGAGAAGAACGCGTATCAAGTCATGGGTCCAACTTCAGCCTTGTCCTTTAGTTGTCCCTGCCGCAGGAGGCTGAAAGTGGATTCGCCGGCCTCGTTGTGAGGCGGGTCGGGGCCGCGGGGGGTTGGAGGATGTAACGGCGCCAGGCGGTTGCACCTGGAACGCTCACCTTTGGTCACCTTGGTCCAGTGCCGACATCGGTACCCCACAAACCGGGGTGAGGCCTCGGTGAGACTGCAAGGGAATTGGCCAATGAGATGTTGCCAATTTCTCACAAAAACTTTTTTTGTTTCTTTTCGTTTTTTTTTTCTTACGAAAGAAAGAAAGAGGGGCGTTCAACGCTAACGGCGTCTCATCTCTGATCAAGGCCTCCAACGTCAGGAAGCACATGTAACACGTTTTTTTTCTCTCGTCTGACATGATCAGACTCGTTGTGACTATCTGGGCTCTTGTATAGTTCTCGAGGTAGCCACTATAAGCAGGAAGGGGAGAAGCGTGAGCGGTGAAGGAGAGGAAGAATATTTCCGCTGTATGCTGTGCTGTTGCTGGTGCTGGTGCAGCACTGCATGCATCTGCCCACTACGATACCCCTCCAAGTTTTTTTTTCTGCCCCGCCATCGGCACTTCCTGACTCTCACCCACTGTTTAGCATGGTATGGTCTTCTTCACTGCGTCACTGTCGCGTATCGCCGTCACCCACTCCGCCCATGATTCCGTGGATAAATTCTGGTCAGTCGAGAATGAGATGGATGGATCTGTGACGTCGACGGACCCAGAATTTGTGCGGACAACCTCACTTTGGACCGGCAAGAATAGCAGAAAAGTGACTCGCAAAGGGAAGAGTTACACAGTAGATACCCCGCCAAATGATGGAAGTGAAGAGTTGTCCAGACAGAAAGAGACTAGACACACGTGGGACAGGAAGCGCCAACAGCGCATTTCAACGTAAATTAACCATGATATTGTCCTAATCAGGTACCTCCTGTCCAAAGCAAAGGAGACAAGATACTTTGGGACCTCTCTCCGGCGGGACTGCCTCCGAAAAAAGTAGAGGGCTCCGCGTCCGCCGCCGCCAGTCACAAACCACGCAAACACAGTGACCAGTGACACACACACAAAGAGACTGGGGGAAAACAGCGTTTTTCAAGTGGCTTCACTCATTTATTTTTTGAATTTTCTACCTTGAACAAAAAAACGAACCCACTCTCTGAGTCACCGCCCACTACAGTCATCGACCAACACCCCCCAAAAAAGGCCACTACCGGACGCTCCCCTTCCCCTGTGGACGAACATTCATCCTCCCACTCCTCCAGGCTCGGTCAACGACGGCTCAAGCAACGAATTCACCACACGATACCCCGTCAGATCCAATAGGCGACCGGCTGTTCGTCCGCTCTCTCTGTCGTTGTTAATACCAGTGTAAGCTTATTTCCCTACCCTTGATTGGCTTTTTTTACTGCCGTTACGCGGCGGGAGATCGACCTCTTCGTTGAATCCGGGGAACTGTTTCGGGGTTGGTGGGTGGTTTTTGCGGTCAATCTCACGATGCGCAGCATCCACCACACACAGACAACCACCAGCGATGACAATGGAGGAGGGGTCCAATCGCTCTAGCAGCGCTTCAACATGATCAGAACAATGTCATTGACTAACATTGGCTCAATTTTGCAGTTTTCAAGATACCCCAAACCCATCACCACATAGCCAAAATGCCCGGTCTCGACCTTGAGCATGAGCCCCTCGCGGCTGACGACGTGAGAAGTGAGTCACTTTTTTTTCTCTCTTCGTCTGTCTCTTCAACGTGAGGTGGATGAATGAGCCCACCTACCTTGGGAAATGTCACTCATGGACCCCCTACCACTCTGCCCCACACAAGCTGTTCATCTCAAGCTGCCATCTTCATTCCCATCGAGACTTTACTCAAAGTCGTCGATGAACAATTCGGCTTTCAATCTTACTCCACCACCCGGTTCACTCACTGTCGTTCTCACCAAACACATTCATGTCACAACTCACTCATCTTACTCAACTCACCCACAACACCACCAGCACCACCACCCCTTTGAACCAACAGCCATCACCACAATGCCCAACCAACGACTAACGCACCCTCAGTCCTGGGACAGGATCCCCTGATCCCCCCCGCCCTCCTCTCCTCCGAGATCCCCATGACCGACGCCGCCCTCCAAACCGTCGTCCGCGGCCGCAACGAGGCCGTCGACATCATCATGGGCAAAGACGACCGTCTCCTCGTCATCATCGGCCCCTGCTCCCTCCACGACCCAGCCACAGCAATCGAGTACTGCGCCCGCCTCAAGGCCCTCGCCGCGAAGCTCTCCTCCGACCTCTGCGTCATCATGCGCGCCTACCTCGAGAAGCCGCGCACCACCGTCGGCTGGAAGGGCCTCATCAACGACCCGGACATCGACTCCACTTTCAAGATCAACAAGGGCCTGCGCATCTCCCGCCAGCTCTTCAGCGATCTCACCACCGCCGGCATGCCCATCGCCAGCGAGATGCTCGACACGATCTCCCCCCAGTTCCTCGCCGACTTCATCAGCGTTGGTGCCATCGGTGCCCGCACCACGGAATCCCAGCTCCACCGCGAGCTCGCCTCCGGCCTGTCCTTCCCCGTCGGCTTCAAGAACGGCACCGACGGCAACCTCGGCGTCGCCATCGACGCCATTGGCGCCGCGGCCGCCAAGCACCACTTCATGGGTGTCACCAAGCAGGGCCTCGCCGCCATCACCCGCACAAAGGGCAACGAGCACGGCTTCGTCATCCTCCGCGGCGGCTCCCACGGCCCCAACTTTGACAAGGAGAATGTCCAAAAGGCAAAGGACACGCTCACCAAGAAGGGCCAGAAGCAGGCCATCATGATTGACTGCTCCCACGGTATGTCCCCTTTCTTTATACTTTTCACGCATATCAAGACCTAACACACCACAGGCAACTCAAACAAGGACCACCGCAACCAGCCGAAGGTCGCCGCCGTCATCGGCGACCAGCTCCGCGAGGGCGAGAAGTCCATCATTGGCGTCATGATTGAGTCCAACATCAACGAGGGCAACCAAAAGGTACCCGCCGAGGGCCCCGCCGCCCTCAAGAAGGGCGTCTCCATCACCGACGCCTGCATCGACTGGGATTCCACCGTCGACGTCCTCGAGGGCCTCGCCTCCGCCGTCCGCGCTCGCCGCGAGCGCAACGCCGGTTCCGCCAACGGCAACGAGGACTCGCACAAGGTTACTCACCTTGAGGAGGAGTAAAGCAATCGTCACGTCTAGTAAAAATGACTAGTTTGTGATTTTGTGAGCAAAGAGAGGAAACACCCAAAAGAGAAATAGGGGGATGGAGGGGCTTTGATTGGATGAAATGGAGCATACCAACCCCCTATGCATAGCATTTGCATTTTCAAGGCTCCAGGGAGGAAATCAAGAAAAGTGATTTTTATGCGGTTTACAGTCACGGTTGCATGGGTTCATGATACATGCGTCTCTGGATTGCTCGAGGGCGCCAAGGACAATTAGGAGATATAGATAGCTTCGCAAAACAGCTTCTTGAGTCTCCTTAAACTTTGTAGACTTTGGTGATGCCAACAGCTTGATGCCGTGCCGTCCCGTGATATTCATACATAACCTCACCCATAAACCCAATCCCAATTCACACCCGCCCAAACGCCTTTCCCAGACCTAAGTGCCCCTTAGCCAGATACCACATTAACCCGGCCTCGCAGGCGAAAGCTGGCTATAGTCTCCCCTCCCCCCAGAAGCAGCAGCAGCATCAGCCGCCCTCTTCCCCTCCCGCAGCTCATTCGCCCTCTTAAACACAGCCCAGCCCAGCAATCCCGACGTACCCAGCAGGAACCCCCACACGATGACGCGGTCCTTGTTGCTGTCGCGCTGAAAGCACATAGTCTGGACGTCCTCGTCCTTGGCTTTGCTGCAGAAGTCGATGCCGCGGCTGAGGCAGAAGGCCTTTGTGCATTGCGAGCAGGAGGAGGAGGCGGCACGCTTGTTGAGGAGTGAGGAGGAGGAGGTGGTGTCGCGGCTAGAGGAAGGTGCGTTGCCTGGTGGTTCGCCATCTGCCTTTTGGGGTCCTAGGGCGACGATCGTGCTGTTTTTGAAGCAGGTGCATTTGCAGAAAGTTGGTGCTGCTTGGAGGGGTGTTAGTATGTCTTCGTCTGTTGCGTCCTGGTGTTGGGAGAGGGACTTGGCAAGTACAGAAGACTTACAGTTTGCGCTGACAAGAGCGACGAAGCCGCATAGTAGCAGCAGAAGTATTGATACACGATTCATCCTGGCGAGCTGCGTCCACTGCCGACCGGGTCTGAGTTGTTGGTCGCGACGGCGCGGGTGACAGGCGAAGTTGTCGCCGTCTTGGGCTCGCCGTCAGAGAGGTGATGGACGCACGAGCCACAGCCGGAGCGGATCAGGGTCGCGACCCACTTCTGTGTGGCTGGTACACCTACTCAATTGTGGCTGAAGCTTCGTCTTCTCTGATTCGCCAGCGGAACCCCAGCATCCAAAAAAGTTCAATTGGAGACTTTGAAGCTCCCCCCTACCGAACATCGTGCTGTGTCTTTCGCCCGTACCAGGAGTAGAAAGGGAACTATTCACCAACCTCTCTACCTCTACAACACATCACGACACTGTCGCCCACAATGCGTCGTGTACCCCGTCTCAGGCAGCCAAGCCTGCTGGCAGCCTCCCCGATCCAATGCACCTGCGCCGCGCCCGCCACATTCCCCATCTCAGCAACAGCATCACGAGCCCTCTCAACGACACCCGCAACCCCCAGCCGCGTCCGCAAGTTCCTCTGGAAAGGCGGCGACGCCCCCGGCCCCGAAGACCCCTATGCCGCCGAATCCTCCCAGGCCCTCCGCCAGCAGCGCATCGCGCAGGAGCTAGCCGAGGCCGAGGCCGAGCTGGCCGCCTTCGAGGCCGACAGCCAGCAGACGCAGCGGGCCGAGCAGAAGCGCCGCCAGAAGCCCCAGAGCCGGCTCGCGCACCAGATCAAGAATAAGCGCGTGTGGGCGCCGACGGAGAAGGAGGTCGAGGGAGGAGACTACGTGCCCGCCAAGACGATTGATGGGCTCGAGGAGATTGGTGGGCTTGAAGGGTGGTGGGAGCAGGAGGGCCGCTGGGGCAAGGAGAGCGAGTACGTTGGCTTCGCGAGCGCCGGCGAGGCTGTGACAGATGCCGATGTGTGCGCTGCGCGCGTGAGGCAGGCTGTCGTTGAGGCGCTTGCTGTTGCTGGGTCTTCTGCTGAGGTGCAGGGCCGGTTGACGGCTGCGTGGGCCAGGGGCGACGCGGAGGGATTCAGCAGGGCGACGGCGCTGGGGTTGAAGATTGGGGAGGATGGTAGCGTCTCTCTTGAGGGTGATGTTGCGGCGATTGAGGGCGTCGTCGCGCCTCTGTTGGAGGCTCAGGAGGCGCAGACCTCGGAGGGCGTCGTTGAGGCTGCTGAGGCCAAGGCGTTGGTTGAGGCGTGGGGCGAAGCCTGGAAGAACATCTCTCTCGAGGACGCACGATTCAAGTTCGCTGTAAGTCTTCTCTCCTTCACTGACAAAAGGGGTCGAAACCATTCTAACACTCGATGCGACAGGTCCACAAGCGCGTCTTCCAACTGACGGGCCACCGCGTCCACGACGCCAAGCTCGCGCAGATCAACACGGTCGGCGACCTCATCGCCACCATCGTCAAGCCGCCCAAGCCCACAAAGGTCGCCGAGGCCATTGCCCAGCAGGGCGCCCTGCTCGATTTGCCCAACGTCCGCGTCCGCGACCGCCGCGTCACACCCATCGACAAGGAGACCGAGGTCGGCCGCTGGAAGGTCATCGAGGCGGAGCTCAAGAAGAGAGGCCTGCCCGTTACCGGACACAAGCACCTCGCCAAGCCGGTGCAGAGGGCATGGATCCAGGGCAAGGCGTAAGGAGAGGCGGTGTGGTGTTGTCGAGGTCGGTGAGAAAAGGCAAAGGGCCAAAAGGAGGGGAGGAAATGTGTCTGGTATAGAGGAGACTTGTACAGATATTGTACTCTTTGTAACATATGGAATATCAATGATTCTTGCTCTGATAATACTTGGTTTCATGAGATTACTTCTGATCTGGAAATACCGCCAGTTGTGCCTCAATTCAGTCAAGTTGGATTAACGTTAGAAATCATACTCGGACGAGATATACCCCTATTTCTTGACCCTTCCACATCCCATTCATGAACGGTCAGCAGGATGGGTTGACAGTCCATGGTCTCCGCCCTCCTCTTTGGGCCCGTTTGTTCACAATAGAGATCACCATCCTGCGTTGTTCTTGACGCGGCTGCGTGCAGAGCGAGTGCATACGGCCAACAAACAGACAGCCCTCGACCGGCAGAGGTGTGTTTCGTGGCAAGGGCTTTTCCTGTGATGTTTCTCCATCGACCTCACCTTCCTTTCACAAAGATGACTTATTTCACCTTCCTCCACTTGTCTACGTGGTAAATATCTCAGCCTTTCCGAAACATCAACCTTTCCACTCTCGTTGCCTCTCGACCCTCACAAGTTTCTTTCCCTCTTAAACCACTGCGTATCATTACCTTCCATTCTTATCAGACCACTTGCAGCCATTCAGACCTAAGCGGTTCTTGTCAAAACCTCATCTCACCATTTCTGTCCATTCCTGCCCTTGAGACACTTTCCCTTGGATCTCATCGCCCCAGGTCAAATAATTTTCCTTTGTCCTTTCCACATCCTACTTGCCTGCCGTCAGCGTATGAGAACGATCCTTTCAGGTAAATCATCCCGAATGCCCTCTCCCACGTACGCTAACAACCAATCGGTCAACAGAATGTCTCCAGCTCCAGACTTCAAAAGGTGGCCTCGGGCCGTCAGGATGAAGAGGTGGCTGGACTGGGCAAAGTCCCAGAAACTGCCCGTGTTCAGGCAGTATCCAGACAAGTCTGCAAGAGTCGACAAGGAACTCAAAGCAGTCTTCTGGGACTTTGACAGGACGGATCTTCCTCTCCTCACGGAGCAAGAGTGCTGGGAACGCATGTACTCTGCACTCCGGCACCCCGTATCCAACCCCAACGAGCAGTACTACATCAAGGTACTCAACGCCGTCGACTGCGAAGTGTCCCGGATCCTCAACCATGGGAGCATGCACCAGACGCTCGTCAAGCTGGCGAGAGAGGCTGGCTTCGACGCGCGTAAATGCTGCGACCCGTCGCTCTCGAAGGAGCAAAGAAAATATGAGCCTCCGAAAGGACCTCAGCAGACTAGCAGTGCTGACGCACGTATGAAGGCCAATTCGGGTGCGTTTCCTCGCAGGGAACTTGATCTGGAGGGACCGCTGAACTTCGCGGCTGTTTCGGAGTTCTTGCTGCAGCAGAACGCCCTCAAAGAGAAGAACGAGGCAGCAGCTGCTCGTACTACTCCGAACAGCGCCGTCGCGCGCTCGACGGGAAATAGAGGCGGCTCAGATCCATATGCGAGCCTGCCCTACCTTGAAGGTTCCATATTTGCGCCAAAGGCATTGGCAAAGAATGCCATGGCGAACGAGAATACTCGCTTGGAACGGAGCAAGCTGTCCTTGTCGATTCAAGAGTCAGACGCCGCTGGAAGACTGTCTTCCGAGGGAATAATTGGGAACCCCACAGATCAAGCGGCACAGCTGATGTCCAACGACGCAGATTCGAAGACGTCCTTCAACGGATTTGTTATCCCAAAGAGACAGCGCGGCGGCAGCGTTCAACAAGAGGGAGCCATACCCGCTACGAGACCAGAGTCGAGATCAGTAACGAGCACAGCCTCGTCAGGAGGGCTGTCTGGTTCTCAAGCCTCCCTCTCGAAGCAGCCTCCTATTGAGGCTCCTATACAAACTCACAGAACATTGGAACGGCAGACTCGGCGAGGATCGAGTGACATCCAGGCTAGCTCTCAACCCCAGCATGGCGCATTGGTCAGAAGACCGAGCGGAACTAAGGGATCTGGATTGTCGACGCCGTCAAACCTACCGGCACAAGCCTCCTCCAGTAATTCTCAGCAGCACGGCAGTCTGTCAGTCAAGACAGAGTCTCAAGAGCAAATTGCTTCACTAGCAGGACAGAAGACGGCGAGTCAACCCGGTGTGGTCTCAACCCAGGGAAGCACGACCCAAGGGCAAGCCATCACAGCTGCGATGACGAAGAAGCTTGATGCGACAATCAACCAGAATCTCTTGGAAGCGATCCGAGGAGTCTACCGCAGCGTTCCCAAGTTAGTAGAGGGAAAGATACGAGGATGGCTGGACGGCCCAGAGTACCGCTCCATGGGATTCGCTGTTCTCCGGGACGTTGAAAATGAGACGACGAAGATGGTCAGAGAGTCTCTCATAGCCAAGATGAAGGCCATGGAGCAAATCGTCAAGGGCTCCGAGAGCCAGCATCGAACGGAGTCAGTCCGGGATACCAAGCGCAAGGCTGATGAGAAGGATGCGGAAGGAGGTGACCAGTGTCAACAGGCTGCGAAGCGGCATCGAGGCGACGGCGGTGGCAGTGGTTGTGCTACATGAACATCCCCGGCAGACCGACTGTTCAGATGTTGATGGTGGATAACTGGGATACAGAATTTCGATAACCTTGTTTGGAGTACGGTCTAAGTTTGACCATGGACCAGGGAGGATATCCTATTGGGAATTGTTTGATTTGGCGTTCGTATCGGATGGATGGATTTGCTTTTTGAGGATTACTCATACCCCTTTGATGTATCTTACGAGGAAATGAGAAACGAGTCGATTAGCATGAATGATGAGTCTACCAGAACTGCTTTCGGAAGGGCTGAGTGAAGGTTTAAATCCACAAGCGCCAACATCCGATGTGGGATCCCACTCAAGTAGCCATATTTCCTCACATCAGCAACACTGCAAAGAGGGTTCATTCAGCCCTGAACAGGGCAAGTAGCTCAATTATCAGCTACCTAAGTCATTGCGTGACCGAACTCTAGGTCGGTATAGATCAGGAAGTGTTCCATTCCCCGTTCCATCACGCGTAAGCAAAAACGCTTCATGCCATTCATTCATTCCATCTTCCTCGCTCCCGTCATATCAAGCTTTCGTTTTTGAATCGTTTCTGTAAAAGGCGTTGTTAGATGTGTATTCTTGCGAGGGAGAATGAGGACAGTGTATTTTGGACATACATTCAAAGTGGAAGTTGCCGTCATTGTTGGACAGGCGCTCGCACAGGTTAACGTCGGCGTCAATGGCCTGGCCCTCAACGTTGAAGAGGCGGGCGCGGAGGATGGGCTGGTCGCCCTCGAACTCGAAGCGGATATCCTCAGCGGAATCAGCGAAGCCTGGTTTTTCGTAACATGCGTTAGTGAAATCTGTTGCTTCGTATCATGGAAGGGAATCATGGGTTGAGGCAGGGCCAAAGCTCTCCCGCCCAGAGTGTAGAGAGAGAAAGAGGGTATCAAGGAGGGAGGTATGAGGAAGGAGACGTACCGCGGCCACCCCAATCGAAACGGCCGTTGTTGTTGCCGAGGCAGTCGTTGAGGTTGCACTCGGCGTCGACGAAGTCGCCGTTGCCGTTCTGGAGGCGGGCGCGGAGGATGTGGCCGTCGTCGACGCGGGTGTCCTGGGCGGAGTGGTGGAAGTTGGACATTTTGGCTGATGTTTTGTTTGTGAAGGTTGTTTTATGAGATGAATTGAGTTTGGTCAGAGGGAAGAAGAAGGGCTGCGGGAGAGTGGGGGATGGGAAAGCTTTATATAGATGTTGAATGTCGTCAGGACGGAGGATGACGAGGGTAGGAGTGACGGGGCAGCTGCTTGTGGCTGGAACCTTATTCACACACAAGCTGGAGAACAGGCAGGAAGCTCAGGAGGGGCAAGGGGGAGTGAAACTGTGGAAGAGAGAGGCCTCCATTGTATTCACTGGGTACTTTGTCGTCCTGTTGCAGACACGTGGAGGTGGGAAATGGCGGTCTTGGGACGAGGGGAGCGGGTTTCCATTGGCGATGAGAGATTCTCCTTGGCTGGAGCCCAGTTCACGCCCTGCTTCTACCTCAGGAAACCTCAGGGAAGCTTCATGCTCTTGCCTATGGACCTCGAGCTGAATACCTCACCCATTGGCAATATCTGGGCCTTTGCTTGGCCCTGCCCGTCTGGCCCTATAGGGAGAAGCTAGCTTCACGCCCACGAACCAATTGGATCCGGATTGCTCACTTCCCATAGCTTCGGTTCGTTTCTGTGCCTAGCATGTCGTAACCTGTGACCTCTGGTTTCAATGGGAGGTGGTGTCACGGTGCTGGCTATTCTTGCTACGTAGCTCATGGAGCCAAGAGCCTCCTCCGCTGACAGGGGGGAGGGGGCAGGCATGGGAGCTTCCAGGAGAGCTCGTTGGTTGGACAGGGGGCAAGACGAGGCGAGGGTGAGGCTAGGCGATGGAGGGGCGGCGGGGTGGGAGCTTAAGTGGGATGGATGGAGGGGTAGCTCTGCTCTGGTTCCCATTTCACGTCACGGCGATGCCGGGTTATGGATATTTTCGTATGGCTGTACGGCATTGAGTGTCTAGTAAGTCTACGGCGTATTAGGAGCTACCTTTGGCACCTTTGGTAGACTAAGGTAGGTAGCTACTCCATGCCTCTAATGCACTCCCCACGCCATGCTTCGAGTCTATTGATGCCCTTCTTCTTCTTGCCATTCGACCCCGCCGGCACGAGGGTGCCGAGGGCTCGCGATGGGGGCCGCTTGGCGTACATGAGGGGACACGCCTCTCATGCAGGGTGCGACTGGGACAAACTGGGACACGTTTGGATACGGGGAAGCCAGGGACGACTGAGAGGCCACGAGAGATTTCGCTGGTGTGTTGGATGACGCGGCCTGCTTTTTGTCGCTTGGCTTGGGGGAAGGAGGACAACATTGGGGTTCATTGTGGTCTTGCTCTATACTGTGTAAACACAAGATGATGAGTGGGAAAGCGAAGGAATCATCGGCTGCTTTGAAGCTCGGGGCGTGGCATCATGGCCCGTGAGTGCGGAAGAGTCTGGGCAGAGGAATTGAGAGGCAGCCGCGCGCTTGCTTCGGCTCGAGACGAGAGGCGTGAGGTTCTTGGCGACTTGCCATGATCCGTGGGTTGCCTCTCTCTCTTTCTGAAAGCCCGCGTATCTCGGAATCGAGGTAGGTGGGAGTGGTAACTCTGGGGAGTGAACTGAAGTGAAAGTAAACAAAAGGCCAGAATCAAGCATAAAGTCGGCTTCGGCACGCCACGACTAACGCGCTACAGAGCTTGTCCCCCGGTTCCTGAAGACAATTGGGCTACAGAAGGAAGTGGAGCGGTCAGAAATAGAGCTCGTCATCTGAGACCTACCTAAAGTCCACTTTGTGGGAGCTACAGAAGGGGCGTAGCTTCGTGGTGCTTCAGAGTTGAGAGCATCATGCGTGACGCTGGTAAAGCTCAAGACATGATACCTTGGAGGCCTGTTTCCTTGTTCTCACCACTGTAACAAAAAGAGACACACGAACAGCTACCAAGCTTCCTCTTGGTTCCCTTTACTCCCTCCTCTTGGTCACAGAAAGCAGAAGGTGGAGGCATCGCGTCGCGGGTTCTGGACATGTCGTCCATTCATGTGGCATGAGGTTTTCCCTGGAACCACTCTTTTTTCTGCCCATTGGATTCTTTGGCCCCCCAGCAAAAGCAGGTCCGACCTATCAGGGTCTGGAGAGGAACACCAAAACAGAAGTATTGGCGGGGAACGGAGGCCGTGGCCTGCGGCAAGGACCGATGCGTTCCGTTCGTGGCATCGCCTCATGGGGTCGGGCCAGAACTCTGAACTCAGACCCCTCCTCTCTGGTTCCTGTTTCCTAGTCCAGGTTCCTTGGGCTAGGGGCCTGGGAAGCTTGAGAGGGCTGGAACACGATGGTACGCCACTGGCGTGATGGTCCCCGGTATAAGCTGGCGGTCTGGCGTAACGATGTCGTCGTAGATGTAGCAAGTTCGTGTTTGCATTGGCCACACCTTGATTTAGTGAGTGGTTGTCGTGGGTGATGTGAGGTGTGTTTTGAGTTGAGGTGACGATCTTCTTTGTGGTTGCACAGAGCACCACAGGCACCACACAGGCACCAAAGGCATAACTCTCAGGGGGTTTTCGGAGGGGTCCCAGTCGAAGGGGGAGCCAAGGCGGGGCGGGGCGGGGTTCGGATTCATCATAGGAGCGGTCAGAGGTTGGAGGGGTAGAGAAGCAGGGTAGAGGAGAAGACCGAAGGCCCGTAGGCAAAGAGGTGAATCATTGAGGCACTTTGACGACAAGCACCTTGACAGCCTTGGCTGGGACCTTGATGAGACGACCAAGGTTGACGCTATTGGCACCTTGAGGGGTTGGGCAATAGTATAAAGAGATGGTTGTTGTCCAGCCTGCAGCACTGAGGAGGTTGTTGATTGTGAAGACAACATGATCCTTCAGCAGTTCCTCCAGGCAAAGAATAGTTCCAAAAGACATCAAGAGCGGCAAGCAGTACATTCAACATCACAACGGTGGAACAGTGGAACAGAATTCGGCGTCTCAAGAGATGAATTGCTCAAGTGAGTGACTAAACATGCCAATAGGTCCATCAATTAGAAAAGACACTATCCGCCGATGCAAACTATCCATCAACCAAGTCGTAACCCATATCCCGAATTCAAAAACTCATATCGTCGTCGTATCGAGAGAAAGCGAAACCGCAACAAAGCAGCAACGTATCATAGGTCGTCGTCAAGGGAAAAGGCGTTTATTTGCAGGAAGAGCAAGAGCAGCCAGAGCCGCAGTTGCCTGAGACAGGTTAGCGTCTTGGTCTCCAATGGCTGACCGCCGACGACACCGTTGCGGTTGCGATGCGGTTGCAGGGGGGAGAGTAAGGTACATACAGGTAGAAGCGCCGGAGCAGCCGCAGTCACCCTTCATTTTGATGGTTGTTGGTTGGTTTGGGGGGGTTTAAAAAGGTGTTGTTGTTGTAGTTGACGTGATGGACTTGGATGTTGACGTTGTGGAGATCAGATCAGAGGCGGAAGAAGAGAGGTAAGAAGCCGCGCACTTATATATCCAGAGCCTCCTCCTAGCAGCTCGGATAGTCACCCAGAGGGAGGGGACACTGGGAGTAGCAGGAGGAGGGGTCAGATGTCAGATGAGGGTGGCCAGATGGGACCGGATCGGGGGCCCGTCATTGGGCGGGTGCGCCGTTTGTGCGGAAACGCAGTCCAAGTCAAGCCAGCGTCGTGGCTCGGGACTGGCGACCTGTTGGCGAGGGGTGCCTCGGTGGGGTTTGCGCTCTTTGTGCGTTGACGGTAGCCAGTCGTCCCCCTTTTCTTTCGGGGCTGGAACTTGGCCCGGCATGGATGTCCATGGAATGGCCCATGGGGGGTTGAGTTGGTTTGGGGGAGGTCTTTTTGCCCTTTTTTGCGCCGCGCGAATCGCCTCGGCCGCCCAAACCAATCCTGGCTGACGGGCAAGACAGGGTCAAAGACCACTGTGATGCTTCCCAATTGTCAACCTTTTCTTATCTCAACGCATCGTTGCCGGATAAGGTTCAGGTGGGTTGCGTCTTTTGTGCGGGAGGCGCTAGGATTTGGCCATTTGTTCCTCAATGCATCGTTTGCAGCTGACCCCGGCAGGACGATGAGATGAGATTCGTATCTTTTGAGATGTTGCCGAAGCAGGTAGGCATCCCGTGGCATCCAGTCGCAAGTTCCGGGAGCTGCTCTGGGGGGCTGTGATACTGCGAGACAGCGTGAGAGAGTGAGACTGGCATCGAGAGACTGGCAGAGATAACGGTATGACGACGATAGCAAACGGTCCTCATTCAGGCAGGACCCTGAATCTTTGTCCTGGCGGCTGACGTCGGACGCACTCGTGGCGAGGAGGGGTATCCCATCCTCTGCCTGCCCGTAAGCCGCTGTAAGCTGCCCCAAGCGCAGCGCCAACACTGATGGAGGGGTACTATCCGTAGCACTATGATGGAAGGGCGAGTGAGGGGTACCCGTGGCTGTGACGTCTGTCCTGTCACTCTGCGCCTGCGGTGTCTTGGATGTGTGTGGCTGTCTCGAGTTGCGGCCTTTGTGCGTGAATCTTCACCACTCGCTCTGCGATGCACCGATGTAGCTGAGACCCTTGGCCCTCGAGGCATTTGTGCCGTTATCAATTTCGAGTGCGAGATGCGCGCATGATCGGGGAATTCTGCAATAGATCATCGCCTGCCTGGAAGGTATGACGGAGCCACCTATCGACGGTCTCAGGTCTCTCTCTTGTGCGTTCTTCGGCTCTTCTCCATCACTCGGCCGTTCTTCATCACCGCTTCTTCAGCAAGTTAGCGACCAGCCAGGAGGAGACAAACCCCACCACTCAGACAGCGAACCCCACGGCTCTAACACCCTGGGTGCATTGACCCTCTGTGTGCTGCGTGTGTAAACCGAATTGCTGCTGGACCTGCCCTGTTCCCGTCCCAACCACCTTTTTCTGTTGACTGGTGCCGCCAACCGCGTCGGAGTGTTTTCTTAGTCACGATGCTGGCGATTTCGAGGCTTTGAACGGCGCTGTTCTCTCTTTGTGCCAGGTGCCAAAGCTGCTAGGCCATGCGCCCGACGGCGGATGATGTCGGTAGGAGGCGAACTTTCCTGACCGCTCTGGTCAGGCCCGAAGAAGACTGACGGAATGGGACGCTTCCAACTTCTAGAGCATAGGTAGTGTTACTAGGGTATCCGTATCCGGACACGCTCTCGTCCTCGTCTGCACCGTGCCGCAACTCGCAGTCATCGAAGACGAGGTATCATAGGCTCTCATTGGGCCTTCTTGGTGAAAACGCATCTTGTGGCACTGATCTGTAAACTGCGCGCATTGATGAAACTTTCTCAATAATCCTCAAAGACCTGCCTGCTTGCTCGTCCACAATGAGGAACGATCAGCTATGCCATTTACGAGGCGCCGTGTGAGAATCTTCATCGGAGACGCTGCAGCAAGACGTTGGTGACCGCTTCGGGCAACGATCGGCTAATGTCGGAACGGATGACATTGACGCACGTGCACTGGAAGCTCGGAACTCGTCGGAAGATCTAGTCACGTGGCCCATCGGCGTTAAGGTACCTTGGGAAAGTCGAGAATCTCCACCGCAATTGAACATCCAGACGTGATGGCATCAAGTTCGCTTGCCTTATTGTAAAATCTCTCAGAGGACCAAAATCATCCCATCAAGCCAGGATGCGCCGCTCGGCCAAGTCATCCCGCAAACATGTAAAGAAGGCTGCATGGGATTGTCACGCAAGTCCGCCAGACGATGGTGGGGTCGCGTCTCTTCTCGAGATCAGACACCACTTAGAGCAGCTGCGGCACGACGTGTGAGTGGCATCTATTCTGCCGCAAATGGAGCGATGACGTTCATCAGACACAAGAGGCGATTGGGATATCTCAATGAATCAGAATGCATCATTTGCGCTATCTGGATGCTTCTTACACAAGTGATCAACCCAACCTTTCTCTGCTGAAGATAATGCCATAAACCCACGCCCACTGTTCCTTACCAGAGACCTCCCATTCATCATCCAGAATCAACAATCGCATTCCCACGCTGGTCTCCTGCTGAGAGCGAAGCTGGAATATCCATCCCTTGTCTCCAAGTGTCGTCCCAGAAAGCCTGACCCATCGCAGGAAAGAAGACGACCATCAGTCGGAAGTCAGTTCCGGCTCCATACTCTCTGGCCTCTTTAACTACTTCTTTCCAGTCAATGTTGCCTCCAGCGCCGACGGCGATAACCATGGTTCGGAAGCTAAGTTGGTCCTCATGATGTGCTTGGCAGAGAGATAGGATGAGAGATTTCACACCTTGAAAGTAAGGTACGCCCATCACATCCTCCTCGGTGTCCGTGGTATCCAACAAAAGCGTTTCCGCTTGCCGAGGCAGCCAATTTTTGACCAACGTAGCGCGTTCATCCAGTGTCTCGAGGAGCGAATAGTACATCGCAATTCTGCTACGGAATACCTTCAGGCCGGACAGCTCCAACGTGCTATTTATTAGAGAGCGAATCTCTAGGGTAGGGTTCTCGCCAAAGAACTTCAAATTCCCCTGCTCACAAACCTTCAAGGTCAGATGCTCAATGCATGGACAACTTTTCGTAAGCGCGGCGCCCAACTCCAAAATTGTTCCTAAGTTATGGCCAATCAAAATTTGAATTCGGAGCGGACTCGGATCAAAGTCGACGAAGAGATGCGTGAGGTTTGTGAACCGCCTTAGGGCCCTGCCGAGAGTTGCAGATTTCATCCCCGTACGCCGAAGTATGAGTTGCTTCGTGGGAAGAGATGTTCTATAAGCGGGACGGTCATGTAGACCCCATATGCCAAGATCGTACGAGGATACAAAAGTCGCCAGAGTTGGATAAGCGACGAAGTGTTCCAGGAAGTTGAAATCTGAGCCAAACATACAGTCATGCTGTGGGTGGATCGGGCTAGGGAGCAAGGAAAGCGACTTCAGTTCCGGGCAGACCCTCTGCTTCATGACGGAGAACGCTGAAATGGCAACCAACAGCATTGACCGCAATCCAATTAGTTGAAGTCGATGGGAAGTGAGGTGGATGACTTGCATCTGAGAGATTGTGAGACAGCAGATTCTGTGACCAAAGCAGAGCAACATGCCCACCAGCAACCCCACAGCAAGTGGCGGATTTGTTCGAGAAAACGTCGCGTACGGTCTGTATAGTAGCAGGATATGACGATCAGTGTCCGAGAGCTTGCTTTCATCGAGTATAAATCTGGGCCAATTGGTAAGATTTGTCGGCGTTTCCATCGTGCTTGGGTCGTAGTAAGCGTCCGGGCCTAATGAAATGTCGACTTCGCGGATCAAGCGACGCAGATGTGGGGTTTCAACCAATGTTCGGACGAGAAGTACCAGTTGATTGTAATGCGTGTGCGGAAGGTTGATGGTGTGGTACAAACCCTGCTGAGCGAACGGGAGTATTCTCTGGTTTACGAGACAGAGAGGATAGGCGTCTGCACAGTAGTGGGCAATCATTGTAACGAGCTCGTTCGGCAGTGATAGGAAAGTAGCGCCCGCCATAACTGCTGGTGGCTAGTGGCCATGTATCCGTTGTAGATGTGCTTCTTGTTGTCGGGTCGCTAAGGCGTCGGGGGCGAGGAAGTTCAGGCGTGATGATTGGCTGGTTGTTTTGTCGAGTGGGAGGTTTCGTTGGGGAGTAGACAAGTTAGAGAAGTGATGGAGATGAACAGATTGGACGAGACTGAGCTCGGTCAAGGAGACTGTTTTTGTCGAGTGGGAGGTTTCGTTGGGGAGTAGACAAGTTAGAGAAGTGATGGAGATGAACAGATTGGACGAGACTGAGCTCGGTCAAGGAGACTGTCAGTAGATGAGATAGAGTGAAGCAAGCAAGAGAATATGAGATACTTCTTTCCACCTGCGATGGCCCTCTACCACTCGATTCATGCCTGCCTTCCTCACCATCTATATGGTGTCAGTAGAATGTGGAAGCAGGAACACATCGTGACCGCTCGACAGGCTGAAGTCTTCACTCAGGCGGAAAGAACATCACTCTTCGCTCTGACCCTCTCACTTGATGACTAGCAAGAAGCGACTGTTGATTCCCAGAATGGGAAGTCGTGGCCTGGAGGGGGAGGCAGTTGGACGATTCCCATGAAGCCCCAGTGGAAGTTGACCAACACAAGAGGTCACTCAGTTGCAATCGACAGGCCTTGAAAGACACAGCCATGCGACAACAACATCTGAGATACACTGCGGATGATGATAGAATGTGCCGACATCGCAGGTGTCCCCGTAGCGCCACCGGAGGATTTCGCCATCTCCACCATGGAGTTCCAAGTCCGCTCCGGGCCATCGCCGGACACACGCCGGAAAGGGAAGTGGTGGGCCACCAGCAGATGCCCTGACTGGATGGAGTTGCAACTCCATTGTGGAGAGTCGGCGGCGCTGACCCGGAGCGGGATTCCTGTGGTCTCGAAGAAGGCTTCTAGTCGTCTGAATGAGCCTTGATTGTGTGTAATGACTGAAATCTGTGAGCTTTGGATGCGATTCATATAAGATAGAGGCAGAATGCCGCTGAAAACTTACTCTTGGAAAGAACCCATCATTGTCTTCTCTCAACTCTCTTCTCCATTGTCAGAATCCATGCCACAATCGTCTCGGGCTCAGGCAATTACCTTCAGTCATGGCACCTTCAAGCACCCAAGACCTATTCGATGTTGAGCATCTCACCTCCAAAAGCATCGAAAAACCCTTGACTACCCATCGGCATACCGCTCCGGACTTTGAGCTCTTCCGCCACCTCGTACCCCTCGTCTCAAGCGGCAAGACAACACACCTCAACGCAGCTTTCATGCCTCCCTCAAATCTCATTGTCAACGAAGCTCTCTCCCGCTTCTGCTCGGAAGCTCTGCATCAACCCTCTCCAAAAACTCGCTGGAAAGAAGATGTCGAGGCAGTCAGGGAACTACTGGGCAGGTACATCAACACAGACCCATCGACCATCGCCTTTGTCAGAGACACCACAGAAGGCCTTGGAAGCTTCATCCGCGGCCTAAAATTCCAACCAGGCGACAACGTCGTGATTCTCGACTGCGAGCATCCGAACCAAGCGTTCGCCTGGCTGACGCTGCGCTCGGCTGGGCTGGAGGTCAGACTCGTCCCTACAGACCCAGAGAACCCGGTAGCAGCGAACGCGGAGACCTTTGCGCCGTACGTTGATGAAAGGACCAGGGCGATCGGGCTGAGTTCCATGATGTTCCACACAGGACAACGGAACGATGTCGCGGATGTCTGCGCGGCGTTTAGGCATCGGGGAATTCACGTTCTCGCGGACCTTACCCAGCAAGTCGGGTTTGCTGCCGTCGATGTGCAAGCATTGGGTGTATCGGGGGCGGCATTCAGCCTGCACAAGGGTCTCAACTCTCCAACTGGCTTCGCTGCGCTGTACGTCGATACGAAGGTCATCCTAGAGATGGATCCAGTTCCACCCATAGTAGGCTACGGCGGCGTGAGCAGTGTCGGTGACTCGGAGGACTTTGCGGTCCCGGAAGGCCCCGTCATCTTCCACCCTACTGCGAGACGATACGAACACGCTAACATGAGCTTCATCTCAGCCGTGGCTGCAAGAGCATTCCTCCAGTTTTATCTCGAAGTGATGGGCCCCAGAAATCTCGAGCAGCGTCTGTATAGCCTTGGAGATGCGATGCGACAATCTTGCGCTGAATTGGGTGTTGGCGTCGTAGGGCCAAGCGAGAGGAAACACCACGCACCGCATCTTCATGTTCTTCGTTTGCAGGACTCGAGATGGTCTGAACGCTTGGAGGCAGCGGGTATTGTAGCGACGAAGTTTAGGACAGGTATCAGGGTCTCTTTTGGCTTCTATAGCAATCTGGAAGATGTCGAGAGATTGATGGCGGTGATCCGGACGGGGCTTGAAAGCGGCATTCCGTCGTGTTAGTGATGCGCGGTCAAAGGAGATGATGAAAGAGACAAACCGACAGCCTTGATTCTCGATTGACGATATTTCAATGAAAGAGATATGGAGACAGTCTTCTATGATGATCTTTGATGACTTTCTTTCCTGTTGAATGTCGCAATCCTTAGAGTATTGACCTCCAGAGCCAGAAAGGCGATAGTGGCATGGAGGAAAATGTTCCAGCGCAAGTCCACTGAAAAAACAGTGACGAGCATCCCGCATCGGCCACCTCCCATTGCCACCTCAACTTCCCATCTTCATCATCCTCAACCTTCCCAAGCCGGCCTGAACGATGCCTCCACACGATGAGGAAACACCTCTTAAACCCACCAAGAGGATATCGTAAGCTGTAGTGTGCCTCCAAGTAGTACAAGTTTCTAATAAACGAACAGTTGCAAGAGATGCCAGTACAGAAAAGTCCGTAACTTACAAATCCCCCCTCCCCAACTCTTCGCTGAGAGGTCTCGCCAGTTCAAATGCTCCCGCACCGAACCATGCCAAAACTGCAGCACGTCCAATACCCCTTGCGAATACCGCCCTGTAGATCGTAAGCGCGTCCCGGCCTCTCACGAGTACGTCGCGAGCCTCGAGTCCCGCATCTCATGGCTGGAGACGTTTGTTCAATCTCTCCGTGTCGCCACGCCAGAGCAGCGGGAGGAGATGCTCAACTCCACGGCAGCTGCGGATGGAAAGGACCATTCTCTTCCTGGTAGTTCTAACAAAGCTCAAGAAGAGATCCGGACGGATGAAGGAGCACCACCACTGGCACCAGGCAACTACATATCCCACCTCGGCATCCACGCTCGCTCAAGCGCAAATCTCGAGCTAGGCCTCGAAGGTTCCCTCATCTACCATGGCGCAACCTCCATCTTCCGCGTCGACCTCCCTTCCACCTCCTCCAAAGACCCAAGGGATCCTGACAACACTACCGCCGCTCTCCTCCGAGGAGGCGGCATCGAAGCAAACTTCGAATCTGTAATGCAACACTTTGGCATCGACGGCCCATCCTCTCCCGCCGTTCTGCAGTCCCTAACACAGTTCTTCCGCTGGCAATATCCGCACTTCATGTTCATCTACCGCGAGGCCTTCCTCCGTGACCATTTCAGCAATGACGACGGTGAGGGTGATGCCAATAACGGTGGGAACAATAGAAAATACTGGTCCCCCGCCCTGCTCCTATCTATATGCGCCCTCGGCGCGCTGGTCAGCTTAGATACAAAAGCCTCGAGTGAGCGATTTTTTCTCGCGGCGGAAAGCATCATCATGGTGACCGGGCTCACGAGGCCGAGCGTCGCTACCGTCCAGGCATTCCTTTGTCTTGCGCTCTACGAGATTGGGAGGGGTAATTTGTCCAAGGGCTGGGGGTATTCTGGTGAGCCCACGCATCCAACGAGAGTATCTTGCAATACTTTGTTCGTGATAGGAGACTGACTAGACGTTTCACCAAGGAATCGCCTTCCGCATGGCCCAAGATCTCGGCCTCCAACGAGACCCCAAAGGTTGGGTCCAACACGACTCATCCCTCGCAACACACGAAGACGTCGAGATCCGGAGGAGAATCTACTGGGGCTGCTACATCTCCGACAAGCTCATCAGTCTGATTCTCGGTCGACCCGTATACCTGGTCTATGACGACGCCGAGGTCCAGCCCATGGAAACGCTGCCGTTCGTGACACCTCTCCTTCACCCTCATCTCCGCCTTCCGCCCTCGTACAAAAGATGTAGTCTGTTAATGTCGACCCCAGAGAACCCCCCGAAATGAGTCTCTGGCGCCCCGTAGGCTTCGACGAAGAATACAGAGAATCCGCGCAAGCGAGCTCCATGATCCCCTACCTCCACGAACAGATCCGCCTATCGCGCATCATCGAGAGAATGATGTCGACGCTCTTCTCTCCGCGCTCCAATCTAGACGACCTCGGTCGACGAGTATGCTTCGATAATCTAAACCTAGACCTCAACCGGTGGCGCGAATCGCTTCCCGATTTTGCAAAATGGCATAAATGGGGTGGATCGTCATCGAAGAGGATACCAGGAGTATTGGCGTTGCAGTATGTCGACCGTCCATGATGCGTGACCCTGTTCGCTTCTAAATAAATGTCCCAGCCTTCTATTCCATAGTGTTCGCATCGCCTTGAACTATGATCAGGCTATTGCATCCCGGGGAAGCGATGCGGACGAAGAGCCACAGTCTTACTGCGTCACATCCGCGCAGCACATCACTTCCCTGGTACGCACCTATCGGAGTCAGTACGGGCTTCAACATGCACCACTCGTGTTTGTGTACGGCGCTGTCCAGGCGAGTCGCTCGGCCAAGGCATTCAACATCACAGAGGAGAGCCAGTATCTGAACCAGATGCTGGGAGAACTATCATCGGCTTGGAGCCTGTCAAGAGAAGTCATGGCCAAAGTATTGGACTGCTAAAGCTAAATACCCGCGAGAGTACACAAATCGGGCCCCATTCCCCATCCCGGCCTCCAGACTTGTTTATCCAGCTTCCACAGCAGTCACCATAGCCATCTGTGTTCTCCTTTTGGACATCCACCCTTATTGATGCCAGCTTCCTTTGCACAGAGTGTCGTCATGATACCCCTTGCCAAACCATAGCTGCCATGTCTTCATCGGGGTGGCCTTGATACAATTCAAACGTTCATCTGGTCGAAAGACTTGGCCCACAAGGTCTTGGCGTCGGCGGCGGTGTAGACCCGGAGCTTCGCGTCGGTGTCGGCCATGGTGTCATTGGCGGCTCTGGTCCACTGCTTCGGCTTGCTGTACTTGCAGCCGATGGCGATGGTGTCGAGACGAGGGAGGGGAATCTCCTCCGCGCGCGTCTCGCAGAGATCTTTGATGATTCTCTTCACGTGCTCCTTGTGCGCAAGAACCGCGGGGGTCTTGGCCGTGACTTTACCCGGGAACTTGACGGACGAAGCGTCCAGGAAGAGCTTCTCCAGTCTGTCGGGAAGCTTCTCGGCAAGGTCGAGGTCGCCGAGGTACTGGGCCTCGCGAACGAAAGCATCGATCTCAATTCGGAGCTCTCTAAGGTTGTCCATCTTGGGAAGGCAGGTCAAGGTAAGACGGGGACCGAAGAAGTCTTCCTTGTTTCCGAAGAAGCGAATCGACAGGACTTGAAGCTCGGGGCAATACTTGGGCAAGACTCTGTTGATGTTCTGTCCAATCAAGTGGTTGGCCTTGTCGGGGATGGTCTCGACTTCGAGATGCTCAACCATGGGGCAACGGCGGAGTAGAACGCAGAGGCTCGAGGCGGTCCAGTCGCTACCACGCAACAAGAGCTTCTTGAAGGGGAACTTGACGTCAGAGCCACACTGCATGAGAGCGCCGGTCAGCTCGCCCTCGGGTCCCTTGAAACCGAAATCGACGAGCAGAGGCGAAGAGACCGCGAGGGCCAAGGTGGGTTGAAAGACCTTGCCGAAGAAGATCTGGCTGGATCTCTGGAGCCAGGTCTTGCTGATCAGATCCAGGCTCGCCAAGGAAGGGAAAAGAGGCGAGTAGTCGAAGTTGTTGGACGGATTGGGCACAAGAATGCTGAGACCAGCAGTCAGAAAGCGGTCGGTAATGGAGAGGTAGTTGTCGACGGAGATCGTAGCATGGTGAGTGTTCTCCAAAAGGAACATGAAGAGACCGAGAACACGCTGGAGGTTCTCGGGGGCCTTGGTGCCGCACATAGCCTTGCAGAGGGCAAGAAGCCGGCGATCACGCGCCGAAAGCTTGGAGTCATCAAGCTGAGTGAACCAGAACTGGCTGTAAAAGGAAGCCGCCGGGTTCTTGCCGGTGAAGTTGTTCGTGGGGATGGCGATGAGCACGTCATGGATGAGCTTTCGGGTAGAAGGCTGCTCGATAAGGGTTCTGACAATGCAGAAGAGCTGGTGGGGAGTCTGGATTGGAGTAACGAAATACAGCTCGCGACGCGCAATGTCGTGGATGCGCTTGCTCACGAGGCAGAGATTGCGAAGGTTCTCGCGGCCTCCGCCGTGGTGATCATGGCAGAGCGTAGTGATCATGCCGAGGACCTCGTTGGGCATGGTATCGAGGCTGTGACGGTTCATCTCGATCTTGATGACTTCGCGCTGTACAATGACAGAGCGAGGAGCATCGGGAGCCGACTCGTTCTTGGCGGAATTCTGGGCGACAGCGGCTTTGATCTTGGCCACTAGATCGTCATGGGGGATCGGGTCCGCGGTGTCAGCCATGATGTCTTGGAGGCTTGGCTACCGCGTGTTGAGGAAAAGAAAGTAGAGGAAGTGGTTGGTGATGGGGGAAGAGTGGCAGGCGTTTGAGGTGCGCCGAAGATGGAATGATGAAATTCCAGGGTGACAACGAGGCAAGGAGGAAACGCAACGTGAGGTTTGGGAGAAGGGACGAGGTGCTTTGGGGGTCCTTCTCTGCTTTGCTTCCGTTCCGGGCCGAGTCTGCCTCCTTCTCCATCGCGATGCCTCGAAAAGGGGAGGCAACAACCGCCTTTGGGCCACTCAGAGGTCGTTGACCACGTGATGGGCGGTCAAACCAAACGGAAAGAGTCTTTCAGAGGCTGCCTATCGAGGACGGGGGCTTCAAGTACTCTCTTCCCGTGCCCGGGTCGGGGGGTTGAGGTGAGTTGTGGTAACTAAGTGTTGACGGGACGGGGCACTTGGACGGGGGGCGGGGAGACAGTCTTGAAGTATTGGAGGGACCCGGCAAAAGAAAGACAAGGAAGCAATCCTCGAAGCAAGAAGGCAAGGTATTGCTTTGTTGGAACAGAGCAGGCTGCGTTGAAGAGAATCGAAATACTCGCAGCCTGGATTGCTGCAAAGTCTTTGATATCAAAGACTGGCTGGGTTGTGGAGAGTTGAAGAGACTTCAAAAGACTTCAATGCATCTGAAAGTAAGTCAAAGCTAGACTGGGAAATGGACGCCTTGCTGATTGGATATAGTTCTGTTGAGAGATATCTTCACCTCAAGGTAAGCAGAGAAACGAACTATCCTCCGACTACTTCAACCTCATCGCAAGATGTCAGCCAGACAAACATCGAAGCACGTCGGCCATGACTTCACCCGCAAACGCAAAGTCCCTCTCGACCTTCTCGTTTAGCCCCCAAGCCTCCTGGCTCCTATCCAGCACAGTCGCCCTCCTCATATCCCTCCTATAGCTCCCGACCACCGGCGTTCCTCGATGGAGAGTACAAGTATTATCCCACATGACCAGATCGCCCACCTGCTTCCACGGAACCGAAACTACAAACTTGTCCTGTGTGGCGTGGCGGTAAAGGTATTCCAGCTTCTCCCTCCCTTCATCATCCTCGAGGCCATCAATGTGGTGACAGTGCGAAGGTACAAACAGGTTCATCCTCCCGCTGGCCTCGTGGAGCTGAGCGACCTTGTGCTTGCTCATTGGGTGCTTCGCCGGATCCAACTTTGCGAAGAAGTCGGGGCACGCCTTTTTGCGGGAATACCAGAACGAGTGACCGGCAACGTAATTCATGGAAAGGAGTTCCTGCTTCCATTCGTCGGGGAGCTCATCCCACGCCGCTCGCGTATCAGCAAAGTCAGTGTTGCCGCCAGCTTCCAAAGGGGGAATCTCGTGGGCCAAGAGGATTGAGTAGCTTGCTCTCTGGGCGTTGAAGCTGCTGTCGACATGGAAGAGCGTATTCCCCTGCCCAAACGTCAGAGATGGTGTTCCCTCCCGAGTCCTCGCTTCGGTTCGATACCAGTCGGAAGAGACATACCTTGCTGATCTGAGCCCGCGGATCTTGAGAGCTGATGACGGTACCGTTGGCGTCGACGTTACCCTGGTCCGTCAACTCGGGCAGACTCATCCGCGAAGGCGCGCCGGTGTCTTTGCGGCGCTCGAGTTCGCCGAAGAGGCTGGCGAAGGCGACGTGGCGTTCGTCGTCTAGGCCTGTTGCTGGGAATACTAAGACTCCATACTACACCTTGATTCATTAGCAACAAGCCGGAATGGCTTTGAAGAAGTCGTTGATGCAGACCTTTGTGATGGCAGCTTGGATCTCTTGGAAGACGTCTTCTGTCAACGGCTTGGAGAAGTCTACCCCGCGGATCTCTGCTGTGAAGGTGGGATGGAGGGGTTCGATGGTGAGTGGCATGTTGCCCAAATCTCTCTACGTTTCTCTGCTAACAAAGCGACAGACAATAGCTTCCAAGCAATTCTAGTCTCAACATCCGAGAGAGTAGGAGCAAAGTTCAAGCCAGACAACCGAGCTACATGTCTTGGCCGTGGGATATCGTACTTGGTCTATCTCGAAAGCACCGCGTTTGAACTCCTACTTCTACGATCTATCCCTCATTTCTACTCGTCAATACGGAAGGTCGATTCAGTTTCAAACCGATTCATCTCACCGCCCCACGAGCTGTTCATTTAACTGACCTTATCTGTAGGTTATCTCTCCCTTCACGAGTCAGACCCTGCCACCCCATATCATTGACAACGGCTATCACCAGTATAAGCTTTCTATCGACAGGGCATGTCCCTGTCCGCACGATGTCGTTAGTACTTCAATTGAATTTGGGACGACCGAGGTTCATCCCTTGTATCCGTCTCTTGGGGTTTTCACGCCAGTCCACCAACATCATCACCGATAACTTCTGCTCTCACCACTACTCTCGCAGACTTTGAGTCGACTTCAAATCCTCTTCCAGCCTCAGAATTGGTTCAAGGCCAGAGAAGTTATACTCAGACTCAGTCATGCCGTCTCTCCGGCCTCTGCTCAACCCCATCCTGGGTCCCGAGCCCCGCCAGCCGGACCGGATACCCACAGATACCGTGGTGCAGCTTTCAGCCATGGACAGCTCCTGGATGATGCGCATGATGATAATGAGCTGGAGTATGTGCTTCCACGACGTTCTCGATCCGGAGATGCTCCACGCCTCGCTCTCAGAGCTTCTCACCATCGGCAACTGGAAAAAGCTGGGTGGAAGGCCGCGACTAACGGTAAGTTCTCGTCTTTGCGATGCTCCAAAGCTCCTACTCAGCCTCGATCTGTGAAATACACATCAGAGTTATCCATAACTAACAGTCGTATCAGAAAGACGGCAAACTCGAACTTCACATTCCACAATCCTTTACGCCCTCCCGCCCAGCAGTCCACTTCACGACAGAACCAAACCCCTCCAGCGTCAAAACACACCCTCTATCCTCAACCATCCCCTCACTCTTCCTCCCTCACAAAACGACATCCTCCTCCCCAAACTGCCCCATCATCCTCGATACCCCCTCAACCCTCACCTCCCTCCTCGCCGGTCCCGAAGCACCAAGAACCTTCAAAGACTACACAACCACAGATCGCCCCCTCCTAACCCTCCACATCATAACCTTCTCTGACGCAACCTTCGTCACAATAACCTACCCGCACAGCATAACAGACGGCATGGGCCGCCGCGAACTCGTCGAGAACTGGTGCCACGTCCTAGCCGGCAGACAAGACCTCGTCACGCCCCTAGCAGACCCGTCCTCTGACCCAATGGCAAAAGTCGCATACGCAGAGAAGCAACGTTACGACGAGCCGTTCCTATGGGAACACAAGAGGTTAACCGGCTTGGGTAAAGTGCGGTTCACGCTCGGCTTGCTGTGGTACCTCCTCACGAACCGCATCCGCCAGCGAAACATCTTCATCCCCGCCGCAGCACTCCTCCGCCTCCGCGAGCGTGCCGAAACAAATATATCAACGGCCACAAATGAAGAGCCGACGACAACAGGCCGCCTCAGCGACGGCGACATCCTAACAGCATACCTCGTCCGCCTAGCCTGCTCCCACATCCCTGCCTCCCAACCTACGAAACCAATCTCCATCTCCACGGCCCTCGACCTCCGCGGCCGCCTACACTCCGACGACCTGCCCCCCGGCGAAGCGCACGTCTCGAACCTGGTAGCATACAACTGGACCAACACCACAGCCCTTGGCCTCCTCCACGCCCCCTTCGGCAAAGCCGTCGCGCTGATCCGCAACTCGGTGCGGTCCCAGCTTACCGATGCGCAGGTATACGCCTCGACTCGACTTACATATACCGCCGTCGCGGAGAGCGGGAGCACGAACCAGTTTACGGAGGCGAATGGGTTCGTGGTGTCTGTTTCGAATGTGGGGAAGGCGAGGTTTCACGAGGTGATTGATTTTAGTCCTGCTGTTGTCAAGGCTGAGGAGGAGCCGGGGGGTGAAGGGAAGGAGGGGGAGGGAGAGGAGAGACGGACGCCGAGGGGAAAGATTGTGTGGCAGTGTAATACCCCGCGAATGAGCCTGCTTCCGCCGTGTCTTATATACATTCAGGGGAAAGATCACGAGGGGAATTACTTGGCGCAGATGGTGGTTTCGGAGAGGACGTGGCGGGTGATTGAGGATGAGGTTAAGAGGGTGTAAATTCTGCATGTCTACCACACAAGGCAAATATCACTAGTACAAGCTATGTAGATCATCTTCAACGTGCAAATCGAAAACTGCAGTTGTGAAGTCGCTCGACATCAGAGCCAAAAAGCAGAATATTACTTTGCTAATATCTCTACGGAGTATCATCCAAACAAAAATACACCAAAACGCCACGCTACATTAAGTTTGGTCAAAAACAAAATCCTAATACAAAACACGAGGCACCCAAAACGGCGCCTTCTCAAGCTCAACCTCGATCCGGTTCTTGGCGTTCAACTCGGCCCCCTCGTCAGAACACCCGACAACCTTGCTACAGTGCTCCACCTCCTGCTTGCTCACCCCCGCCGCGTCGCGCGGGATCCAAATCACCGGCGTCGGCGACGCCATCTCGGGCGGCCAGTACGCCCGACGGGCGTAATCCGCGGGGTACGTCTCTGTCGGATCGGGCAGGTCGACGGGGATGGTGCGCCGGAGGGTGGAGAAGTCGTCAAAGACGCCCGGGTGGAGCCAGCGGAGGACAAAGTTGGGGTTCGGGTCGGGGGCGGGGTCGATCCAGTGCATTATATAGCCGATGGGTCCCGCGAGACCGTATTGTTCGGCCGTGGCTTGCATTTTCTTGGCGACGGCGCCGGCGGACCAGTCTTGGACGGAGGCCATGAGGCCTGCTGCGCCTTCTACGCCACGGGTGCCGTTGACTTCGTGCGTCGGGCCCTCGTTTTCCTCGCCTGGGTCGAAGAAGTCTGGGTACGCGGCGGTGATGTCGGCATCGGTGAGGAAGTCGTCTTGCGGGTAGTCCGGGGCGACGAAGCCGCCGTCGAGCTCTTCCATTTCGAGGGCGAGGGCGCGGGGGATGTTGTAGAGTAAGGGGAAGATGGCTTCGCGGAGGGAGATGTGGACGAGGGCGGTGAAGATGAGGAAGCCGATCATGAGGACCATGGGGATGTAGGCTGCGCGGAGGGCGAAGAGGCCGACGAGGCAGATTGTGGCGAGGTAGAGGCCGACGAGGAGGTGCATCAGCGCGCGGGGGTATACGAGGCCGCGGGTGTCGATGGAGGCGTCGCTGACGTAGAGGAGGTTGTACTTGTAGACGAGGTAGATGCAGTAGAGGCCGGCGGCGGCGAAGCCGAGGACGACGGGCGCGATGCAGGAGTAGCTGATGGCTGATGGGGGTCAGCTTCGAGAAGTAAAAGGTAGGGGTTCAGCGCGACTTACCGATGACGCCCATGTTTGTGAAGACGGGGAAGACTGCACCCCAATGCACGGGTCGCTCCCTGTGCCAGATCCTGAATAGTCCACGAGGGTTATCAAAGCCCTTTGCCATGACATGATGGCGGAAGATGTCGAATGCCCGCAGCAGAGACGCAGCACCGACGGCTAGGCACTGGATAAGGATGTAGGAGATGTAAAAGTTGGAGGACTTTGGCAGGTTGTCGGCCAGCAGGTCCTTGGCTGAAAGAGGGTCTTTCAGCACTTGTGTGAGAGCCGCTGATGCAGCGGATGTAAGAGTCGTGATAAGGAAGACCTGAACAACTTGGAACGCAAAGTATGCGTGTTGTACGAATAGTTCGATCAGAGAGAGCGATGGAACACCTGCAAGCCTGGCACAACCTTTGCAAAAGTCAGTAGGATGGTGAAAAGGGGTTGACAGGTACACTTACCTCGCAGCATCCAAGGAACAATGGCCATGAGGAACGACAAGGCCAACGCGGGCAGCAGACCACTGATGATGCCGGTGACTGGGTCAGGCAGCTTGGTAATCCACGCCAGGAAGGGGAACGTTTCCGACAAGAACTTGATATTGGAAATGGTTCCGACGATGGCGGACGGAATAGACCAGAATACAATGGCCGCCGTGATGAAGGCACGCATCAAAAAGTCTCTGGCGATACGCTCAAACCACTGCATCCGAAGAGAGCTCCATACCACTTCGTCTGGACGGATACCGATATACCGCGGCGACATGTGCAACGGCCGGTTGTGCGCCAAAGTCTGATACGCGCGCTCGGCATCAGCTTGGGAGGAGAACTCGACAAAAGCTGTGGGTAGTCGACGACCTTCGCCCTTGAGGAATCCTCGCCGCAGCTTGTTAATCTGCTGCGTGAGTGCCTTGATCCGCAGGCGTGTCCACTTGATCGTATCGACGCGGCGGAAGAAGTTGGCCAGGGGTCGGTGGTACGGGCGTTCGCTGGCCCCGATCCACTGTGCGGCGACGGAGCCGTTGACGTCGGGCAGGGCGGTGTTCTCTTGGTGCGGGTATCCTTTCTCGGGGTCGTCGGATCGTTCTGAGCTTCCGCTCGATGGCGGGCTGGAGACGGTTTCAGGGAGAACCGGTAGGGCGGCGGCAATCGCCTTTAGTTGCTTGTTCCTCCGTTTGTTGGCCATCTTGATCAGGCGAATCTCGGCCTTTTCCAACCGCATCGCCGTCTCGTCTCGCTCCTTGACGAGCCTTTCCAAGTCGCTCGTGTCTCGGGGGATCCAGACGTTCTTGACGGTGTCGCCAAACAACTTTCGCATGCGGGCGGCATCTTGGTATCTTGGCGGGACACAACCGAACATGACTGTCCGGGAAGACAGCCGCTTGGAGTAGTAGGGCGATAGTAGGTAGGCATGGCGAAGATTGATGTAGTATATGCATTCACGGTAGATTGTGAAGAGGATAAATCCTGAAAGGGGGGTTTAGCATACCGAAACCATCGTATGGAATAGGGGGCACCTACCGAAGAAGACCCACGCAATGATTGCGTGGGCAAATAGCATTTTGGAGTTTTGGACATTGCCGATGGTGATGCGGTCCAGTTGTGAAAGCCCACCGGTGCCGGTAGCATGAATAGTCATCAATGTTGGCCATGTCATGCAAATACCAACAAAGCAGATCATAGTAAGTATCCTCAGATACCGAAGGAAGAGGAAGGCATCTAGTGAGGAGCGATTCAGGATTTCCGTATCCGGAACCGTCCAGAACGGCTTCACCCAATTGAGCCATCCTTTTGGAAGCTGTACGCTTTGCTCGCTGTCGTGGAATTAGCATGCTGTACGAATCACTGTACGGGTGACAATAGGGTGATGACATACTGAGAGAAAAAGTCTCTAAGAATAGTGCGTGGGGAGTAGACGCGGAGACTCCTTCGGCGCAAGGCCCAGAAGATGAGCAGGCATACGACGGTGTAGATGAGCACGGGGATGAGGGTGCTGACGAGCGACATCAACGAAGACGAGTCAGAACCGACGTTCAGTTTACTGACGGTTCCGCCGCCCGTCGAGTTATCGCGGGCGGAACCAACGCGGCCATCACCATCACTGCCATCGCCGTTGAGCGACTATTCACACACAGTTAGTTTGGGGAGGCCTCAAAAAGCTGCTCACGGGAGGTACGGGATGGAGTCGTTGGGAGGATGTCTTACAATTTCCACCATTGCAGCTGAAACTGCACAACATGTCTTTGGGCGCTCAGGTACCCCGATTCCTCTAGTTGGAGCGAAGGCGGCTGAATGGGCGGGGATCGTGGGATTGATATTGGTAGAATACGGAGTACGGATAGTGTATTCGTACGGCGTGATGCCGACTTGTCAGGGTCAGACGATGGAGTTCTCTGGGCGTGGGGACGTCGTCTCGTTAAAACCTGCACCCGGCAGGATAAGCAGACTACGGGTCTGACCCCCGCGGACTTGCAGACCTAGCGCTGCGGGCGATCAATTAGATCATTGACGGGGGCTGGCCGTTTTGCCGTTGGGCTGGCGTGTGTGCGTGTGTGGTGCGGTGCTTGGGATGGGATGGGATGTGGCCGCCTACTGCTGGCCCGGTAGGGATTGGCGTGGGCTCTTTTGCGATGAGAGATGCTGATCCCTCTCAATACCAAGACTTTGGCAGCGAAGCGAACTTAGCGACGGGAAGCGATCTATGTTAGGCGTCGCGCAGACCGACAGTTTTTGCGAGGCCCTCGGGAGGGAACCCTGTCGGAATGGCGGCTGGCAAAGATAGGAAATGTGATAATATTGATGGGTGTCGCTGATGAATTGACGAGTTCGGACGAGCGCGATGACAATTGACAGCTCAGGGCTCAGGCAGCGGGACGTCAAAGAAGAAAACGTGCGCCCGAAAGGGGAATGGCTGACTTGGTGTTTCTCAGTCGTTCCTCAGTCCTTTTGGCTGTGGCTCCTCTCCATTGGCTCCTCGGTGATCCCCTGGGCGGCCCCACTCCACGGCCAAAGGACGGTGCGGGCCCAGACCCACTTGTGGCAGCTTCCGTCGCCACCAGCCATTGGCTGCCTCCGAAGATTCTGCCCCTCCGCTCTGTGATTGGCCCGAAGACAGAAACGCTAAGATTGACTGCCTTTCAAGCGGGTCCTCCAGGGAGAAACATTTCCCCACGGTCCCGGAACAGGGGTCCCGCGTACCTTTTGCAGTACCTCACCCAATGAAAGTCTCCACTTTGCTGACGGCTGACGGCATCCATGCACCCGACCCGAGAAAGCTTTGATTACGAAATCCTCTGCTCCTTTCCACCTTTGGTTTTCCAAGCGAAGAATCTTGCGGCCGAGGCTCGCCGAGAGCGAAGTTAACAAAGACAAACTGGGAATCCCTTGCCCACATACCCGGGCAAAATTCAGACATCTCTCCAGACTGCAGAACCAAACAGAAAAGAAAAACCAAGTTTTTTGGCCCCCATGCCCCTTTCGGAGGTTACAATTGAGAGCCCACTACAGCTGAACTTTAATTCCTGGCCCAGCACTGGCCCGGCACGCGCAAGTGCGGAGCTGGCTCCGATTTCTTCTCATCGACGCAAATGGACACTGATCGTCGATATCTTCTTTCAACACTCAGCTGAACTCTTTTTCGTTCAACCGTGTCATTCGCCTGAGTACCGCAGATGAGACCGACCTAACGACCGCTCGGATCCACCCTACACATTCTTCAACCACCCAAGGACCTACACTAGACTCAACGTAGCCTTGGTCGACGTACGAATAGAGCCGCCAGCCGCAACTTTGCAAGAA